CACCCCACCATCTGCCCCAGTCCCCTGTTTCCTCCATTCCTCCCCACCTCCCTGCTTGTCATCCCTAACTCTATGTACCTGCCAGGGACATAGATGACGGCCTGCAGGCATGCTCATGTTGCTCTCATGTTCATGATACCCGCCAAAAACCCAGGTTCTGGTGCATGAAAGGTAGAGAGTCGCATCTTTCAATTATTATCAAGGTATAACTGATCTAAAATGCGAGGAAAGTCACAGACATTCACAGTAAATCGCTAAATGTAACGGATGTTGTCGGCTATGTATTGTTATCGGTTTTTATGTTGTTTTCTTGGAAGCTTGGGTCCGTTTTGTGCATCGCGTTTCTTTGGTAGCAGCCGAGTTGTAGTCCTTTTCCAGGCGATATTAATGTGTGAACATCTTGACATTCTTGCGGGAGTCGTCGGATCTTACCAGTTGATACGCACATAACGAGCTACCCATCCGACAGGCAGACTGATACACACATGATAAGCTACCCATCCGACGGCCGGCTGATACACACATGATAAGCTACCCATCCGACCGGCGGCTGATACACACATGATTAGCTACCCATCCGACAGGCGGGCTGATACACACATGATAAGCTACCCATTCGACAGGCAGGCGATACCACATGATAAGCTACCCATTCGACGGGCAGGCTGATACACACATGATAAGCTACCCATCCGGCAGGCAGGCTGATACACACATGATAAGCTACCCATCCGACAGCAGGCTGATACACACATGATAAGCTACCCCATTCGACAGGCGGGCTGATACACACATGATAAGCTACCCATCCGACAGGCAGGTTGATACACACATGATAAGCTACCCATTCGACAGGCGGGCTGATACACACATGATAAGCTACCCATCCGACAGGCGGGCTGATACACACATGACATTCTACCCATCCGACAGCGGGCTGATACACACATGACAAGCCACCCATCCGACAGGCGGGCTGATACACACATGACATTCTACCCATTTGACAGACGGGCTTAGCGCGGGGTCATCGACACCAACAGTGCTCCCACATTTGCCTGGCTGCCGCGCGACCTGACGGAAGGATGCGAACGTTAGGTGGAAGCGCCTGGCTGAGCGCACCAGCTGCGTCATTGTCAGCGCGACCGTTCCATCTCCAGAGGAGGGAGGCCGGTCAGAGCTGAGCGACGGTCTCCTGGCGTGGGCGGACGTCCACAAGGGTCTGCCCTGGGGTATCGTCCTGTTGCTTGGTGAGCTAACCACTCGCTTGCCGTGTGATGAGTGTGTAAGTCGGGGAAAACTGCGCTGATTATGTTGCGCGCGTTTATCATCGCATGCGCACATCCAATGTGCATGGCTTTAGAGTCCGATGCGTGAAGCCTTATTATCATAGTTATACTCATGAATGGTGATTATGCTTCGACGCGAAGGCATTCATGATAAGTTTTGCTCAATCTGCGTAGCGCACGCAGTTGAAATGAGCTCAGATGTCTCGCGTGCTCACGCTTACCACGTCTGTACAGCAAATAACGATAGACTCCAGTGCAAATGTTGCGTGCCAGCGATGCGGACAGTCCGTTCACATCGCGTTGTATCAGCCTGTTCCTGCAAGCTTGTGCTTGCAGGAACGGACCGCGGCGTTAAGCGCCGTCCAGCTGTGTCCAGACCAGCGATACCCCGCTACATTTTGAGGTCAACGCCATAGTGACGCATGAAGTAATAGACTTCAAAGGGCTTTCGCCTCCTCCACACTTTGTTTGGTGGATGCTTCCCGCGTCATTGGCACCGACAGAGCACGAACTGACCACGCCTGCCCGGTGGCCCTGCCCGGTGGCCGTACAGAGCGCGAGCTGATCACGCCTGCCCGGTGGCCGTACAGAGCGCGAGCTGACCACGCCTGCCCGGTGGCCGTACAGAGCGCGAGCTGACCATGCCTGCCCGGTGGCCGTACAGAGCGCGAGCTGACCATGCCTGCTCGGTGGCCGTGCAGGCGGTGGGCTCGCCATAGCCGAGGCGGCTAACCTGTCGGGTCTGTCCAGCCTGGCTAGCCGACCAGCTGGTGGTGCTGAACACGCTGCCACACGGCCTCATCGTTTTCCTGGTCTGTGCCTTCACTACGCTGGTGACAGAGATTTCCAGCAACACGGCCATCGCCAGCATCCTGCTGCCGGTCATGGCGCAGCTCGTAATGTGAGGGACAGAGCGCCCGAGGCCTGACCTGTTGGCGGCTCACAGCCCGCGGGTTGCTGGGGGAGGGGGGGGGGGGGAGAGGGAGGGGGAGGGGAGGGGAGGGGCGGAGGTTCCCAACAGGGAGCATCCGAGGAGCTGTACTGGAGGCATAGGGGCCTGGGAAGAGGTCAGAACACCGCTGACGCCGGCTTTTATGCTTGATTGCTAACGGAGGAGACATGTGAGCCGCTCCTGCTTCCGCTGAAGGAATCAGCAAACACGCTCTGAAAGTGGACGGTTGTATTAACAGGAATCGCGTCAATGCCATGAGACATTCTTTCACCAAGAGACTTTCGGCAGTGAAGTTTACATCGCAAAGCTGCGAATTCCATCCTAGTTAGGTGCATTTTAACAACACCGCAAAAACATAAAGAAATGAAAAAGGCCGGTTATCATCATGTTTACGATTGTTGGGTGAGAGAACAATCGTGAGAGTAGTTACAACTAAAGTTATGGTCTTAACGGCCACACTTTGCAGTAATAGGCGCCGATTTTCCTTGATTTACTTTATGAAATCGATGAGTGGTTACTGGCCGCTGCCCTACAACGGAGCAGGTTACAAGCATACGGAGCTGATCATCAACGCTCTGCCTTCCAGTCGAACTCACTGAAGATCAACCCGCTGTACCTGATGCTACCCACCACGCTGTGCTGCTCCTTCGCCTTCATGCTGCCGGTAGCTACGCCGCCAAACGCCATCGTGTACGGCGTTGGTAACCTCAGATCGCAGGATATGGTACGTTACCCCGACCGCACCTGCGCGGCGGCGTGCGCGCCGTCACGCATCACGTGAACGCCTCGGGGTTGTTTAGGACAAGGGCGAGTCCAAAACGCCGCCTCGGGGAAGGCAATAAGCTCGGTTTGGTCCTCAGAATTTGAAGATTTTTTTTTAGATTTCCCGTCCTTTTACTGCATTAAGTGTTCTTAACAAATTCCTACCAGTACAATTTTCTTCCTTCAAAAGCTCATTAACATGCTTAATTTTGTTTTTTGGCGTAACTTGCACCATATTGGGAAATCGACCAGATGCGCCCCCTCCCCCCCACCCCATTGGATCCACCCTCGGCTTTGACCGAGCCTGCTGCCATGGTCTCCCGGTGTGTCGCAGGAGTGTGCATTGAGTTACAGTGGTTATTAAACGTTTATTTGACAGTGGCTGGGCTAAGTTACGTCATTGTGCGACTTTGATTTAATTTGCTTGATTTTGTGATCGTGCGGCCACTATGGTTTTCTTGGTTCATTTGAAAGTAGTAAAGTAATAACACAGTGCGAGCGGACGTATGTAGAGGAGCATACGTTTGTCAGAGCGGAACCAAACTCTAGAAGTTGCAAACGTGACCTGTACCTGTCCGTGCGTTTCAGCTGAAGGCAGGAGCATTCATGAACTGCATATGCATCGGGGTCGTCATGCTGCTGATTCATACGCTGGGTGTGGCCGTCTTCGACGTGCACACGTACCCGGCCTGGGCGAACACCACCATCATTGCTGACTGACCCAACCGGCCGATACGCACACGTGGACGATGCGCGACTGCACCCGCACATGTGGACGATGCGCGACTCTGTCGACGAATACCCCGCGATAGATCACCATCTATCGCGGGGTATTCGTGAACAAGTGAAGCCGGTTCGGGTGAAGCCAAAACGTACCGTCACAGCCTTGCCTCGAATCGCATTTCACACGCTGCGTTCAAATGCGCCATCACGGCAGATAACCAGATCCCATTTCGAGATAACCAGATAACCATTTCGTGAAGCAACGTGGATCTTACGAGGGCATTGTAATACGACCCGCCGGCTTTTCTCTCCCCTTCCTTACCCCAGACGATCGGGTCATACGTCTGTGCCTCGCCACGCCGCTCCCACCCGCTCGACGTCCGTCCCGACCGTTGTTAAGAACTCGAGTCGCAGGGGCTTCAAGCGACCACCTGCGGCACCAGTACTTAGAAACGGAGCCGGACTCGGCAGCGGCGCGGACTGACCCCGCAGGATGCCCCGCGGCGGCGCGAGCTCGTCCGACGCACGAGCCAGCAGCGGCGGGTCGAGACGGAGCCGTATCTGTGCGGTGCCGGCGCCGTCCGCACCCTCCGGTCACTGTGCTCACGACTGTCGGGCGAGGAGCCCGCCGGCCCGTCCGCCCGCCGACAATTATTCTATTGAGCCGGTTGTGCCAATCAGCGGCAATTGGCAGTCGGCGCAGCGACAGGCACCCAGGGCAGGGGAGCACACCGTCACGTGATCCACGGGTACGACAGGCAACCGGGCCAGGGGAGCACATCACATGTCCACGGGTCTGACAGGCACCCGGACCGGGGGAGCAAACCGCCACGTGATCCACGGGTCTGACAGGCACCCGGACCAGGGGAGCACAACGGCACGTGACCCACGGGTACGACAGGCACGCGGGCCAGGAGGGCACCTCACATGTCCACGGGTCTGATAGGCACCCAGGCCAGGGCAGCACACCGCCGCATGATCCACGGGTCTGACAGGTTCACCGGCTGCCGGAGTACCGTGCATGCTGACGGAGTACCATGCCTGCTGCCGGAGTACCGTGCCCGCTGACGGAGTACCATGCCCGCTGACGGTGTACCGCGTCCGTCACGGTACTGAGCAGACACTTCCACATTGTGTGATCCGCAACCACGCCGCGTTCCCTCAGGCTTTCGCACGTCGTCACGTGCTCCATGTTTCCGCCACCTCTTTGGACTAGAGGGCCACTTTCTGCGGTCACGCGTACTCCTGGCTTTCTCGAGCAAGATGGAGATCGCGTTTCTTGATACGCGTACGTGTGGTATTTCCCTTCGACCAAACAGCGACTACGCCATGTACCTCTGGAGCGCGACTAACGGCAATGCGAATGCACTCAAAAGTCGGCACATTCGGAGTTGAGATAAGCGAGAAGTCAGTTGAATGTTGGCAGGTAAATGCATATGTTCTTGCGACATGTGTTTACTGTCGTTCAAACGGCGTACGGGTTCTTCTTTACCTCTAGCGCTGTGTTTTCGTGCGCACATGGACGTTTTGTGTTTTTCTTTTTCTTGTATTTCGTGTCCTGCGAACAGCCAGGGTTCGCACGTTGTGACCGCAACCTGGGTGCAGTTGCCGGTTTCAATTACGGCGACCACGGCAAGCTGTGACCACTGGGACCAACGGGCCCGTGGTGCAAACCCCAGCATGAATGCAATAACTGACGACCCCATCATGGGTTGACGAGCTGAACCGGAGTCCCTCTGCTATACTTTTATACTCCCGGCGCCCGTCAGGTATCCTTCTGCGTCAATGAGGGTCGGCGATCGATGCGGGGTGCGGTCAGAGGGCGCCACGTCAGGGAAAGGGCATCGCTCTGAGGACCTCCGGATCGACCGCGGGGCCCGGCTCCCTTGTCGCCAGAATGGCAGCCAGGAGGTAACCCAGGATGGCAATGAAAGGTTCCGTCAGCGACTGACAGAGAAAGACCCGCTTCTTGTCTTAACGACTTGTTGTCTGTAAAAATAAATTATGACTGGCAGTTTCGCGTCATGTTCCAATCCGCCACGTCAGAGAGCTCGGCGCTAGAAGGACGTGCCCCAGGTCGCGCGGCATTCCCACGCTGAGGGAACATTCGTTATCGCAGCGTCCAGACTCGGAAAGTACTAACGCCGGGGTACGAGCGATTGCAACTGCTGGACTCGTCAGACCAGCGACAGCTTTGCTAAGGCGTCCTGTCCATTCACAACCATTCCTTGGTGATCTCCACTTTACTATATCTCATACATGCTACTCAAGCTACAGCTCGGTGTTGGTAGGCAAAGCGTGGTCATGGTCAAAGCGTGGACTTCTGCAAGCCTCTATCTTCGTCCTCGCTTATCCCGCACCTGGTGTTTGCAGTGGCCGATAGCAGCAGTCTATGAGAGCGGTTCTGCATTTTCTCCTGACTCGGCCTATCAAGTGTCGTCTGACATGGCTGGTAGGTTGTTTGAAACGTGCTGTTATGGAATCAAGCAGTCCGCAATCCCGAGATTCAGCAGCGTGGCTGCCTTGACACTGGTCAGACATTTGTTTAAGCGGGCTATCTTCAGATGGAAAGAAAAAGAACGAGTTTATTATTGACCACAATAAGACATATTCACCGACTTGAATTTCACCAGCAATTCAATCTTAAGTGAGTGTGTAACGGCCCGGCCCGGCCATCGGCTCACGAAGCCCACATTCACCCGGGCAACCCACGTAACTCGAACGAGGTCTGTATTCAACTGCCCGCCTCGTGCTCATTCCCGCTGACATCGGCGGCCCCAAGCGCCTCAAGCCATTCCTGCGTCACACTGGGCAGAGGCGGATCCAGGGCGATGCAGGGCGGGACATTTTCCCCTCTCACAAAACTCTAATTCGGTCCTCGTAACAAAGCAAAGAAAATATATATTTACCACTTACTAGTATGTCCACTATCACTGTACACACATCGTTCGACAACGCGAGCAAAGTATACGGTAAGATTTATGCTATGGTAAAGTACGTATCCTCTCACGAAACTCAAATTCGGTTCTCGAAATAAAGCAAATCAAATATGAACTCACCGCTCACCAGCATGTCTACCATCATCGTGCACACGTCGCTCGACAGCCCGTGAGCAGTATATGGGCTCAGTACAGACACTACACACATCAGTCAATGACATATTTTGCATTATTCGCGTGTGTAAGACGAACAACACCTTTTTTTTATAAAAAATCGAGCTGTCAGTGGCCCACGTGACACAAAGAACAAATGGCCGAACCCACGGATTGCCTGTTTTGTTCTCAAATCGAACGTTATGGTACTAGATTCAGTCACCTGATCCCAGTTGTTCTCTAGCGCTATGTCGCTTGTTGTAGTGCGCTTTGTGTTTTCTCGTGATCTCAGCCTGCTCCCTTTGAGCCCTCTGGAAAGTTACCGAGAGAACTCGAAGTTTTTCGTGGACGAAGTCGTCTTTGTACAAACCCACTCGGCTTCCAGCTAGGTGAGATATAGAACTGCTTGGATGGCGAAGAAAATAAATAAACAGTCAAGTGTAGCCATGGGCACTGGACACTTTATTATGCAGGAAAAAAATAATGCCCGGAAGACGCTATTCCCAGTGAAATGCAATAGGCTTGGCTCGACACTCAGCGGTCGTTTTACATCTAGGTGTTTCCTCTCAACTTTTTTGTCACGGCCGCGTGGCGATAGCCAACATTGAACCGTGATAGCCAACACTGAACACTAAAACACTCACACAGTACCTGAACGCCAGAGCTTTTAGCAGATTTCACCCCGCGTCACTCTCCACGATTCGAGCTGCCCAAACGCCAAAAAAATGATTCTTTAGCTTTTCTCTGACGCCGTCCGACGATCCAGAGCCAAGCAGACATCATGCCAAGAAACCGGCAGATTTATTCACACGGGTCAGCAGGAAACATCGCCCTGACATCGAACTCCGAGGCGAGGTAAGAACGTCTTTGACGAGGGCCTCGATCGGATAGCTGGTCTCCTGGGGACGTAGTGATTAATTCCGCAGCATGTTTTTGACTGCGCCGTTTGCAGCTCCGAATATAGTCATCACAGTCTCTCCTCAGCCCTGCTGACCAAACACATCTGCTCAACTGCTCATGCAGACTAACCCCGCCTCTTGAGCGTAATGGAATGCATCATGGTGGCTGAAGAGGAGCTCAAAACACTTATCAGCGGGCCACACGATCAAATCATTACCAGTCGGCGCAGCCCCTCGGAGCATAATCCCGTACCTAAGGCAAAACCGATTGGGCTGCTCTTGTTTCAGATATGGAGAAGCGAAGTCCTGGGCATCTCAGACGGCTAATATAGTGGGCGATCATTCTACGATTACCCTCATATTTCTGGTGCCACACAAGGGAATCCGGCTTGAGCGAAAGCCGCACGAGAAAATTTGCAGCTGTCAAATTAACCTCCTGAGCGCATCTGACTTTGTGCCATGAACACTGTCCTCTGGCTGTGCAAATGGAACGCCTGTCCAATCACCTGTGCCAGTCAACACAGACTGTTGTTGCCTGTGGTATCTACACCCGTTGTCACTTTCTGGCTGAGCGCTCCGAGCGTCCGCATCTGCACTGTAGCCGCTTCCAGCAATCCACCGACCCCGGCGTGCGGGATTCTGCCCGCTCCACACATTTCTGGAATGTTCCGCCAGGAGCGCCAGCATCGGCCGGGGTACCCGGCACCGCCCGGTCTGGAAGCGGTACGTGTTGCCAGGTCACCGACTTCGTGCAAGCGGGACAAAACGTCTACATGTTGCATGTGTGCGGCTGGCCTATGCACCACGGAGTGACGGGATTAACTGACGAATGCCTTCCAGTGTACCATCCTTGAGTTGATTGACGGCCCTCCTGCCGAAAAGCACACAATTTTTTCATTGTTTATTCCTTATCAGTCTGGATCGCACGTGAATACGACAGATTAAAAGTATACAAAAATGAGATAAAAACAACTGCTTGACGCTGACAACCGATGACATACATTTTCAGTCTTTCACTTCGCGGATCTTTTTAAGATGATGGTTTCAGCGTCAGCAGCAGAGGAGCCTTTGCTGAAGAATGGCTTCTAGTTGCAAAATACGGTTGGACACCTGGCTCTAAATCTATAATGATGTGCTGACACTTGTTGCGAGCGGCATACAGCTTTCCAGTGACAAACAATTCAAGGCATGGCTTTTTCATCCCTTTTTCTTTTCTTTTAATCATGCCGCATAGAAAGTGATATGTATATAGGTAGACTGTTAGCAGTTGCAACCAAGAGGTGCCGCCACTTACGCGGCGGAGTGCTTAATTACGACCGGGGTCGGGTACTCAGCTCGGATCTGTGGGTTGTTCGGGAGTCTGGGATACAGAGCCGCACGCGGCTGGTGCGCCGAGCGAATTGTTTCATTGATCATCCACGGATAGATCAACTGGCGAGAAGTTTGCCAGACTGGACCTCAAAGAGACATATTAACACCCATCGGGGCCTCATGGCCGCCACTCGGCTCGTATACGGCATTTCGTCAGCTCCGGCGGCGTTCTAGCGCATGATGGAGCAGCTGCTGGCCGGCCTGTCACACTTTGCCGTCTTCCTGGATGACGTGTGCATCACGGGCCGGAACGATGAAGAGCACCGCGACAATGTCGAAACGGTGCTGAAACGTCTCTTAGATGCTGGTCTGCGGCTGAACTCGAGCAAGTGTGAGTGGATGACTTAAGAAGTAGAATACTTAGCCTGCAGGGTCGACTGCAACTGCATCCATCCCACAGCCGCAAAAGTGCGGGCAATCGTGGAGGCGTCACAGCCTGCTGACGTCAAGCAGCTGAAAGCATATCTCAGACTGTTCATGTACTACTACAAGCTCTTGGACAGCCTGGCCACCGTGGCGGCGCCGCTCTATCGGCTGCTGAAGGCAGGCCAGCGGTGGAGCTGGGGACAGGCGGAGAGAGCGGCATCCGCGCGCACCAAACAGCTGTTGGTACAAGCGTCGTGCCTCGCACACCACGATGTGAACCTACCGCTCGTACTGTCTGTGGACGCTAGCCCGTACGGGTTCGGAGCTGTACTGTCAGTGATCGACGGTTCGGGAATGGAACGCCCGGTGGGGTATGCATCGCGGAGCCTGGCGGCCGCGAAGGTCAACTACAGCCAGTTGGATAAAGAAGGGCTGGTGGTGGTCTTCGGAGTGAAAAAAGTTTCACCAGTTCGTGTGTCGCCGGCACTTCATCATACAAACGGACCATAACCCTCTCCTGGGCCTCCCAAACAGTGACAAGCCGCTACCGCTCATGGTGTCGCCCAGAGTAGCCAGATGGCGCCTCGCACTGTAGGCGTACCAGTATAAGCTGGTGTGCGCCCCCTCAGCTCGGCAGGTAAGCAGCGATGGACTGAGCCGCCTGCCACTGGCTGGCTGCCCGGCCAGCGTTCCGGATCCCGAAGACATCGTATTTCTTCTGGAGTCAATGGAGCAGTTGATTCGTGCCGATCAGATTCGCCGGTGCACGAGCCGTGACCCAGTCTTGTCACGTGCTTATCAAGCAGCCATGGGCGGCTGCTGGACGGTGCCGGCAGCTCATGGAATGGAGCCATTCTACCAGCACCGTTTCCAACTCAGCGTTCAAAATGACATCCTTCTCTGGGGAAACCGATCGTAGTGTCCTCTGCTCTGCGGAAGGCGATGCTCTCGCTCCTGCACCAGGGACACCCTGGCGTCGTGGCAATGAAGTCAAAGGCACGCGCGCACGTGTGGTGGCCCGGCATGGACGCAGCCATCGAGTCGACCGTGAGGAGCTGTCATGCCTGTCAGCTGAATCGGCCCCAGGCCTCCCCGGTAGCGGAGAGCCCGTGGCCGTACCCGGAGGCACCGTGGGACCGTCTGCACATAGACTATGCGGGTCCGGTCGATGGGGCGATGATTCTGATCATCATGAACGCCTGCTCAAAGTGGATATTGGCGTATGCCACTCGACCGGGAGCCATGGCAATTCTGCGCAAACGTCCGAGCACGTTAAGGGCGACCTCAGCACAGCGCCCAATTTTCGAGTGAGCCAAGGTGAAGACAGAAGGCAAGTTGTAATAAAGTAAATGCCCACCCTGTCAACATCTTGTCGAGAATGAGCCCTCCCCAATTATCTCCCCACCCCTCCATGCGAGTCCAGTCCAGCACTACCACCTACACGGACCTCGAATCAGGGGAAGGACCAGCGGGAGCTGGGAAAGGGATGGCCATGCAACTCTTTAATTAATCACCATTTCGGGCGACTTCTAAGTGAGCTTTCCACGCGTCGGTTGGCACTTAGGTGCGTTTCAGCTGATTTAGTCTTCAAATTCGAGAAGATTGCGAGAGGAAAAGGCATTGCCACAGGGCTTAGAACAGCTTATCCCAGTAATTACCCCACATATTTGAGGTGGCCCAGCTTGAAAGGCATCAGTTAATTTGTAAGACCATGCCTTTTATCAACTACTTAAAACAACGTATACACGCTACGAGGTTTGTATGAGCTGAATACCGCGTCCGCCGGACAGGAACGTCTGCTCGGACACGCGTAGGCAAACGTTTCCTATTATTTAATGTAGGCAAACAAGCAGCTACCACTGCAATGCACCAGTGTGCCCTCACCTGTGCCGGCACCAAAAACAACATGAGCCTACCCGGTAATGTCTCGTGGCAACAAAACTAAATGCTTTCTTCCTGCCGTTACCAGCCGAAAACGCTAGCGCAATGCTACAACAAATTTCATAACCTCGTCACAAACTTATTTCCGTCCGTTCACATTTCCATGACGATATTTCGGTCAGAGCTTCCATGTCTCGGTGGAAGGAAGTATCGGAGCCCATGTGACGCCCGCCGCACGTGACTCAGGGTTACAAAGGGTTGCAGTGAACGCCTCTCGTCCTTGCGGATCGACTGTTTGTCATCACGCACGTGAAAACAAAACAAAACACAAGCGCTACCTAGGCTGCGTTGCATTCTGCGCAGTGGGCGCAACTCATATATTCAGTCAATCACGAATCACACGCCTTCCATACGCACCATCACAACACGCGGACCCCCGCCGAGTTCGCACGACCCGTCTCGCTGGCGCCAGCGGCTGGCCGGTCAGGGCGGGCACGCCGCAGTCCGCACGACGCCCCCGTCCTGCTCGCACGCTGGCGCCGCCGGCCGATCAGGGCGGGGCGCGCGTCAGCTGACTGAGCAGGATGCCCGTGGCCACGCCCACGTTGAGCGACTCAACGCCATCTGTCAGCGGTCGCCGGGCGGGCACGGCCAGCGGACGGCAGAGCCGTGCCAGTGACGGTTCCACGCCTCGGCCCTCGTTCCCTGCGACAAGGGGGGAGGGGGGCGGTGAGAGGTACGGCCGCAAAGGCTGGGAAACTAGCCGCCATGAAGTAGGTTTGGATATGCTTTCACTACGTCAGGCCTACGCGCAGGACAGATCATGCCATCTGGCTTGGTAAGCTGCACACACTTTTTGTTAATATTAATACTGATCGATATGCGACACCTGCAATAATTTATTGGGAGTGACTTTGGCTGGATTTTCTACTGGATGTCCGTTTTATGCCCCTAGATATATCAGCTACCTATCCCTTCACTACCCGCTGTGCGAACAATAAATCATGATTAATGAGCCAAAATGTTCTGCCACTGCTGATCTCCAATCGCAGAACCGCTGGTGTTGGATTAGTAGTACTTGTTTGAACATCACAGTTGAAATCAAAGTATACTGAGACTTACACAGTTGCAGGAGAGCTACATCTTTAGTTTTCGGTCAGCGACTGGAAAGTGTAAATTCCCAGAGCCGACGTGAAAACGAGAAAATCAGATTATGAAAACTGCTAAATCCACGAGGGTTCAGCGATATGGCAACTGGCAGAGAAGCCAAAGATGTTGTCTGAAATGACACGACAGCTTTCAAATCAGTGTGGTAATCAGCAGGCCAAGTGTTTGAACGAGAACAACGCAAACAAAAAAAGGATACCATTTTAAGGAAAAAAGTAAAAATGACATATTCCGTGACGGACAAATCCAGCCAAATGTATTTAAACACCCTCAATGGGCAGCTGCGTCTCACAAGTCAGCCTTTCCAGACAGCGCCACAAGAGACCAGACACCCGACCGGACCGAAGCGTCCACACATCATGCCACCAAGATGGCGCCGTGCACGGGTCTGCACCCAAGCGCGCCGAGCACAGGCCGCTCCATTGTGCGCCAATCGACGTCGATTGAACTAACAGACCGCCAACTGGGCTATGCAATGAGACAGAGGGCCGGCACAGGGTCGGGTGCGAGGGGACCGTGATCACAACGGCGCCCATAACTCTGGCTGATCAGGTGGGGCGCTTAATCCGAATCAGACAAGCGAGGGACGTGGCTATTGTGACGTCGGGATGACGCGGGATGGGGTGAGGACCAATACACAAATACCGGCTGCTAAACGACACTTGCGCGATAGGATCTATCCAGTTCCTCTCCAGATCTGCCTGCGAATTTTTATTTTTGTCTATTTTAACCTGGATGATCAGATCGTTTGTGGGGCAAAAATATTGCACTTCCACAAATGTGATTACCTACCACAGCAATCATCTGGCTTTCCCGCCATACATCTTTTACTTTTACAATTATTTTCACTTTTTCCTATAAATGAAAACAATCTGTGATACCAGGGTTCCGGAAAAACGGGTATGATGAGCGACACGTAGCTAGTTACAAACATAGATCCCAGGTATGCAGCGATAAAGGACAGACCCATGCGAGCACAGTTTTTGAGTAATGTCCCAAATAGAATCATTGTCACTGTCACAATGGGGCGAAATGTAAAAGACAAACGCATCTTTAATATCTCACAGCCTTACGACAGTGCAACATAACAACTGCAAGTGGGCTCATGCTGAGGGCAACACATGCTTCAAACGCACTAAAGACTGTTCTGATGTCACCGGCTGCCAAGTAAGACATCGTATTGACACGGTTACCAGGCAACGCATCTGCTCGAACCCGTAACACGAGATCCAAACATCTGCCCCCCCCCCTCCCCATCCCCACCCCCACCCCAGATCGGCTGGGCATATCTCTGCAAATGCAAAGTTTGCCCGCCACCTACCGACCACCAGCAGCGTGTCGGTGTGCGGGCAGATGGCGCCAGCCGCTGGTGCCGCCTGCTCGCCGTGCGCGTTGGCGGCCAGCAGCTGCCAGCCGCGGTCCCGCAGCAGCTGCAGCAGCTGCTGGCAGCCGTCGGACGGCACCGAGTGTGTCGGGAACACCTCCAGCACGCCGGCGCTCGCCTTGCTCACGGTGGGCGACAGTGGGCAGCTGGCGGCGACAAACGATGAGAAATCAGAACCTGACGCACTGCGTACAGCGGGACTGCAGCCGTCAAACAGCGGGATCCAACTGCGCGTAAGTGCTGCTTTGCGGAAGTTCCCCCATATGTAATGCACTTTCTAATTTCCAGATATGTGTATATTGTTTGGCATAGCCAAGGCCGCCATGGCATACGCATTTCAGTGCATTTTAGGCACGCAATTCGGCGCCAGCCAATGTGTCATCTATTTGCAATAAGCTTTACGAAGTAAAGGCGCATCTTAAGCTCCCAGGCTTTCGGTTTAATGTAAAAACTGGGACTCTGGCATCCAAATGCCTTAAAATGTAAAACTATGCATTGGTACAGACTGATTTTACCTTACTTGACACAGCAGGATCATCGCCAGCAGCCACAACTCTTATGTTTTCCGTAAGGCTTGTCAAGTCAAGGGCTCAATAGATAGTCCACATAAGTCAGGGAATGCTCAAGCCTCTGGGTAGGTAGTGAAAGGCTGTTAAATTCTGAGGGATGCACATATGTTGTATCTATGCACATTTACATTCCAAGCGATTTAAGACATGTGGACGACTTGCGCAAAAACGTATGTACATCACAATTTACGAAGATTTTGATTTTGGAGTTCTGTCTATAAACTGAAATAAGCATGATAAACAACCCTGTCAATTGAATGCACACATACCTAATGCTTACATACATTTGTTCTCTGTCTGTCAAACATATGCAACCCGTCATCAGTGCTGCGACTAATGCGAAATACGCAGAACACCACCTCTTTCACCCACGACGGGAAGAAAAAAACAAAAATCACAGGCAACCCACCTGTTCTTATCGGGGATGAGGATCGCATCGACGCCCAGGAAGTAGCTGGATCTGAGGATGGAGCCGAAGTTCATCGGATCCTGCACTCGGTCCAGCAGCAGCCACAGCCGCCGTCGGTGGGCGGTTCGCTCTCCCGACGCCTGAAAGCCGACAACGTCGTCCGCCCTCTCCTCTTCAGGCACATGAACGCCGGCGTCTGCCGTCGGCGTCGCTGAGTTCTTCCCATCCCTTGCGTCCATCCCGGGCTGAGGCGGCGACCGGTGGTCTTCATCCCTCCCCGCAGCGGCTCTCCCAAGCCTTACAGCATCATCCGGGGCAGGTTCACGACACAGCGCCGCGCCAGCCGCGGCCACGGGAAATCCCACCGGCACCGGATCACCAACAGTGGGAAGATCTGCAACCCCAGCCTCCAGCTTGTCAGGGTCCGTCGCCACCGGCGGGTAGCCGAGCTCAGTCAGCAACTCGGAGACTGGCCGCGGCCGCAGAGGCCCGACCCGCGCGCACACGCCCTGGTGCACACCCGTGCCGCGCGCGATCGTGTCCAGCTGGGTGACCGGCAGCGGCACGGTGCCGACGCCGCGCGCCGCACACTCTGCCAACAGGCGTGACAGCCGGCCGCCCGTTGCCTCCTGGCGGTGGTACACGCGGTGGACCGTGCGCCGACCGGCTGCCAGCGCAAGCTGCACTGGGTGCAGACCGTACAGCACCTGGACCTGGTCCTCATCCCCATCCACCAACTCTGACTCTATGAAGCCCAGCTTGTCCTTCTTACGCAGCTTCTTTCCACGTGGTTTGTCACTTGGCCTCACATGGCTGCCACGAGGTTTGCCTGGCCAGTGGTCACGCCATTGATCACGCCAAGGGACAGAGCCAGAATGATGATCAAAGTGATCACCATCTGCTGTGGTCACTTTGCTCCCTTTATCTATTTTTTCAGCAAACTTCTTAGGTGTTTCAGATTTGTCAGACCATTGGTTGTGCTTTCTACTCCATTTTGTGGGAAAGGAGTCATGGCCATTGTCATTTAAATCCCAAGGACCATCTTCTCCTTCATCCCATTCATCTCTGAAGGACTCCTTTCTGCTGTTTTTATATCTACTGCTATTCTTTTGAATTTGTTTTTGATGTCTTGTGTCATCTTTCCTCCCTACCAAATGATCAAAATTGTCATACCCTTTACTCCATTCACCAGCCTTGCTGGTAGCTTTGTGGCTGCTATCATCTTGCATGCTGCTGACATGATGTCTATGACCATCTCGATGGTTAGACAATGCATGGTCGCCAAATTGAGGTTTGTCTTGTGGAAGCTCTTGTGTAGAGTTACCTTCCTTACCAGATGACTTACTCTGCTTTTCAAATGTCAGGAGTGATGAGAATGAACAATGCCGACAGCGCAGGCGACTCACTATGAGTGCGCGCAGGAACGGCATCCTCCGATCACAAGGAACGCAGCCTGCAAAGAGTTGAACTGGCCTTGCAATCAACGGATACACAAAACCATACAACTATATGAATAATCACAGGCTTGCTAACTTTCCACGACAAACACTTTTTATGTCTTTACAGGCAAACTAGAGTCACGGTAAATCGAAATTATGTGTAGCCAAGCAATGCATCCCAGCGCCCTCCCTCGCGACTCTCCAGACCGACCCACGGTGCTTTCACGATGTTTTAGGTAGACCACCTTGGTGTCTTTTGTGCGGTGGAATTGAAATAGTCGCTGGAAGGGAATCCCTTTCTTTAGATGCTCTTAATAGGTAGCAGTGGTCTCCAAACCCTTATGTTGACAAGGTTTCAGTTTTGGATTTACTCAAATGAAGCTCAAATCAAAGGTTTGAACTTTATCTTCATAAAAACATCCTAAAGATTTATGTTTTTTTCATTATCTGACTAAATTCTTTTCTAAAACAATTTTTCTTTACTCTTATCTTATTTTGGAAAATGCTACCATATAATAGTGGTTCTCAAACAAGAGGCGAGATACAGAGACACGAACTTACGCTTCACGGACAGCGCTGCGGGGTGTGAGGTGCGAGTGGGGTGGTGGGTCGTCTGACGGTTGCATTTTTGTGCGGTTTATTGTGTTTAAGATGAGATAGGTTTGAAAAACTGTATTCAAGCTTTAGCTTTTTTATTTAGAAGTGAGGTGGGATGATGCTCTTCCTTTCATTCCCGTGACACTAACGATTTGTCAAGAGTGCTGGTGCGTGGGGTCTGACGGCATGCAGTTGCAAGGTGATATTTTATGTTGCGTGCAGTCTGTTGTGGTACATTGCAGCATATCCACTGGATCAATGTAGATAAACTAACCAGTCATAGACTAGCACTTGTAGAAGAGCTGCTATGGTCCAGCCCAAATGCATCCTCACACCCCTTAATGCACAAATAGTTAGGTCTTTTTCAAACCGGAAACAGTCTGTAGGAACACTCTATTACTGTGGAGGAATAATGACTGTATGGACCCTGTTGCTGACTTATTATTGATCATGTTGAACAAACAATACAAGTCATTCAATGATGGGGAAACTTTCCTGTGCTTTACATATAGTGACTTCAAACTTTAAGATCAAAGCATATATGTATATGTATATATATATATATATATATATATATATATATATATATATATATATATATATATCTATATATATACTTGGGTTATAGGATGAATGTTTTTGTAAATTATGAATTAGACCTACCTGTCAAACTGCCAATTATATGGAACAGCATGCACACAGGGTTGGTAACTCAGCACATTCAGTGCAAGTATTTTTGGAAATATATATGATATTGCATTGCTATTTTTCACAGTAAGCACAATGCATAATGTTAAAATGCTTTGCTGTTACAGGTTTCCATCACAGCAACAAAACTTGTTTGGAATATTTCAATTTTGTGGCTTCACGTGGGGATATGATAAATACTACCCATGAATGAGCGTGAAGTGAGCAAGGTTGCATTTTGCTCTGCAGTCTTTGCCGGGTTTGCATATGTGGGGTACACTTTGTTCAGGCATCAGATTGGGAGCAGAAAACGTTCAAAAAAGGGTAAGTACTTAATGCATGTTTATACCTATGATAATAGGTTGTAAAGGGCAAGATAAATTTTGTGTCATTTTTCTCTTTTGGGATTTATGTCTTTGTCCTCTAACTGGCATTAGTGATATATTTGGAAGGTGATGGGAAAGAATATTGTCATGAATAAGTCCTAATGAAAGTGCAGACAAACAAAAGCTCTAGCAGAAGTGTAGTTTTTAAGCTGTGCCTCTGCTAGGCCAGAGGTTCAGAGGTTTGATTTCCAACCATGTCTAGTGTCCACCTCTCCCGCTGGGTGAGAGGTGGGATATGCCAGCTCACATAGCATCGCTAGCTGAATGTCAAAAGGCTGTCATGACATACAGCCATACAGAATGAATGCGTATTTACTGTGCAGTGTGCATGCTTGGGCCACATCCGCAATGTGTTAATGAGAGCCACACCTCATGCTGGGCTGCTGCCGACATCGCCCGACCCTGTGTCCGATCCGCGACACGCGTCCGCCGTCGACTGAGCGGTGCGTGACGCCCGCCGAATGCGCACTGCAGATGAGAAGAAGGGCGTGTACCTGCGGCGACTGTCGCAGACGACGCAGACGGACCTGATGCTGGCCGAGCTAGACGGCGAGCGCGGTACCATCGCCGTCAAGCCGCGCTCCGTCCAGGAGCGCATCCGACAGCTGAACCTGCAGGCGCGCCAGTTTGCCGAGACCATGCTGGCCATCCAGACGCAGGAGACGGGCGCGCGCCGGCCGCACTACCGCAGCTCGCAGGTCGGCCAGGGTCTCTGGGCACAGGGGTGACCCGCATGGTGAAGCGCCGGCTCGAGAGGCCACTAGCGACGTCATGTCAGCCGGCGATGGGGCGTCGGCACCATTGAGAGGTCGCCTAGGATAAATCTGCCCGACCATTGCTTTATGTAATAATGTATTGGATATTGTATTTTGGTTCGTCGTTCATGGTGGAACACTCAGGGGCTCGGGTCGCTTGTTCAGTTTTGCTGCTGCTGGTTTATTCACCTGATTTTCGACTGTCGTCCATCTCCACAATAACGCACACCATCAAGCCCCCTCCCCATTGTCCGTCGGAGCGTGCGCTGCCGGTGACCTGCCTCGATGACCCGCCGCAGTGCACGCCCTGGAGCTCGCCGCGCATCCTGTCGCCGGTGGACATCCAGCTGATGACGTCATCGCGCTCAAGCGACCAGCTGGCGTCGCCGCGCGGCCGCGCGCTGCTCGTGGCGCGCCGCCGCCGGCTGACCGGGTCGTCCGATGGCGCGCCGGCCGCGCCCACCCCGGACCAGCTGCGTCAGCTGGAAGACATTGTTTGCCAGCCCAGGTGGGAGGCAGGCCGGGCGCCTCCGTGTTCGGTGGATGATTACGCTGCTCGGGGGGGGGGGGGGGGGGGGGCGAAATGCTGCGCTTTGACTACTCTCCTATGATTAAAAAGCGTGAATAACATAACGGTGTTAGAAACGGCTGTTTGTAGGAATGTGTGCAATTGATCAGTTTATTTTCAGGTGGCCCGTTATCCCCGCTAGCGCCGCTACACCAGTCCTGCTTTCAGGAGTTGCAGGCTCCCTGAGGCTATCCGTTTTCAAAAGCAGCATGCTTTCGCAGGGAACTGGACAAAGAAGAGGCGTGCACCCTGGTGAAACTAGCTCGATTTTCGAATGTGGACATAACCAAGAAAACGCTGGTCACAATTGCGAACTGCTGCGCTTTCACCAGTAACCAGGTATGTGCCAGCTACATGACATGGTCAACACCACACACTGCCTGCCTAGGTCATCATTATGTACATATATGCTCGATGATCACTGAGCACGCGTTTAAGACAACTTCACCAGTGTAGAGTTAACCGTCCAATACCATGTGTGTGAACCACAGCACATGCTGTAACCCACGAAAGATTATCTGCGCGACGGCGTGCGTCGCGGTGCTTTTTTAAAGCCTGTCAGTATCAGTCTGGTCTAGGTGCATTCAAGTGAGGCTCCGAGAGTTGTCATGTATGGTGAAAATACCCTCTGTGAGCGACGCGCCCTGAACACTTGTAATTACGATAGGCCCGTGACGGCAGACACCACAGTCTTATTGGTGTTGTCATGTAACAGCTGGCCTTGGCTTTTCCACACAGAGTCTGTACCAGCATCTAGGTATGCCACAAGTGATCAGACTCAAAATTGCTCGCATGGTCAAGCTCACATATGGGTCTGATCCCTGGACTCGATCTGTATGAATATCTGGTCTGAACCGATGTAGGTTTTTCTCGACGGCTTCTGTTCGGTGGCGATAGTGTGATTTGTGACTGGTCCCTGTTTCTCTGGCCAGGGTCTGTTCCGGCGGGAGGGTCTGATGCCAGTGCTGTCGGCTCACCTGCTGCATCCTTGTCCGGAGGTGCAGGTGGCTGCCGCCCAGACGGTCGCCAATATGGCCCTCAGCCAGGAAAACCAGGACCAAATGCAGGTCAGTGGCAAGTGGGCATACGCGCGCGCCCGCCCAGAGGGTCGCTGGCGTCTGACACACCTCCCCCCCCCCCCCCCCCATCCGGCTCCGGGCGCCGCTAACTCGTTCGGTTGTGGTGAGAGGGTCGCTCTCGCGTGTGCCGCCCCCCCCCCCTTCCCGTCCGCTCCGTGCGCCGCTGACCGTCGGTTGTGGTGAGACTGTCGCTTTCGCGTGTGACGCCCCCCCCCCCCCCCCTCCCCTCCCGCTCCTTGCGCCGCTTACTTGTCCGGCTGTGGTGAGAGAGTCGCTCTCGCGTGTGATGCCTCCCCTCCCCGCTCCTGTACCGCTGACCACCGGCTGTGGCCAGCAGGAATGTGTGGAGGTGCTGCTGTCCATGCTGGAGACGGAGGACGACGACGTACTAGAACCGATGCTCTCCTGCCTGGTGAACGTTGCCGTGCTGGACCGCTGGCACGAGCTCTTCACGGCACACCTCTCGCAGTGAGTGGGCCGGCTGGCCGGACGCGCGGCGCGCGGCGCCCGCTCGACTAACGTCACGCACGCCCACCGCCGGCGAGTACTGGCCAACAAGAGATCGGCTGGCGGCAGCGGGGTTGGGAAGGGGCGGGACGGATATAAACCTCCGCCTACGGGCGTCAATCGGCGGAGTACAGCCTTATCAAGTCCTCTTTTGTTGGTTTTAGATGAAAAATGTAATTAATTGGTAAAAAGGAGAAAGAATGAACTGTAACAACTGCACAATTCACGAACAATGTACTTGGGGAGCTATGACGCTTTATGAAAGGACTCCGTTTTCATGTAATACAGTGCTCATTTGCAGGTAATTTATGACCCGAATTGCATAATAATGTAGCCAGGATGGGTATGCATCCTGGAGTTGGTGAGTAGGTGACATATTCCCAGGATCACGCATGCATTTGTCCATTTTCGTGTTCATTGTGCGATGTGTGGTTAAGTGAATGTAAACAGATGACATGCTGGCAGCTTCCAATGTCTGTCATATTTCCAGTTATACTCTGAATGGAACTGAGTTCTCGAAGAACCCTCCGCACCTTACTAGACCACTTGAAATGTTGGGAGTGGCGTGGGCAGAGTGTTTGTGTGCGGGGAATTAAAACAGGTGTGTCGTGAAGTGAAGAGCAATGCCATAAAAGAACACCCAGGAGATGACGTAAGGAGGCAGTAAGGGTACAGTCATTTCTAAATGTAACCATCTACCAGAGTTGTTCTCCCTCATTTTTTTATTTAACAAATTGGGTTATAACGTGTAAAATGAGATCGATGGTGATTGCTGTGCTCGGAATCGAATGTTGGTTTAGAACCTCCCAGCATTGTTCATTCTAGGGATTGGCAAAGCCGCAATATTCGTGCCTGGCACATGTGTGCTGTTGCCGGACTGCCCCCGTACCGCGTGGGATGTTAGTCGCAGTCCTGCAGCTGTGCTGGGCGTGCGCTGCGGCTGCGGCTGTTGAGCCCCTGGCGCGCTGTTGCAGACTGTACAGCTTGGTGGACGAGGCGCCGCCCCGCCTGCAGATACACGCCCTGCGTCTGCTGGTGAACCTGTCCTGTAACGACATGACCGTCCCGGCCCTGTTGGCCGCTCAGGTCAGTGAATGGGCTCAAGGTTCCAGCCACTTGAAGGTCCGGTCTCGCCGCCTAATCTGACCTCTGCGTCGTATTCGAAGCTGATGCCTACCAGTGTCTGGCCGCTCCGTCTCGGTCCGCGACGCTCAGCGCGTCGTATGGAGCTCGCCGTCCGCCACTGACGGAGCCGCGTGCGCGCGCGCGCTCGGCAGGGTCCGCGCAAGCTGCTGTACTACCTGGAGCCGAGCACGGAGGAGACGGTGCTGCTGCGGCTGGTGACACTGCTAGCCGGCCTGACCTCGGCCGCCGCCCGGCTCCACATCAACCCGGCGCTGGACCTGCCGCCGGCGCAGAAGGTCGCCGCCCCCGACACCATGTGAGCACACAGAGGCACCAGGCACCGAGCGGCCTAGGGCAGACCGCGACCGCGACTGGATGTGTTGTGCATTTTTCATGTCGCATGGAGACAGATTGGGTACCAGCCATTGTACGAGATTGGACACCGACATAGATGCCGTGAAGGCGCGGGCTTATCTACATGTGATGTGAGCACTGCCGCGACATCAGACACCTGTGAGGGCCGATGGTTCGCTAGACACCAGATGTGGCCAGGGGTAGCCGACGTAGTGCCGCCCCCGCCCTGCGCTCGGCAGAGCTGTCACAGCCATCTGGCGTGTCGAGGCGGCAGCTGCGGATCTGCTGAAACGTCTCCGCCGGTTAGCCAAGCTGCAGCTGGGGCAGGCTATCCCCTGGTGACTTCGCTTGCGCATTGTATGCCGACGCCCGTTCCGAATGCCCCCCCCCCCCCCCTCTCCGCCGCGCCCGTGCGTGCCACGTCAAGCTGACGCGCCGACCAAGCTGAGCTGACGCGCTGATCGCCGCAGGTACGCCCAGATCTACGGCGTCGGCGTGCGCCCCCGAATGGCACACAAGGCGTCGGCGCTGGCCGCACACCACCCGGCCGAGGACGTGCGCCTGCAGGCGGACAGGCTGCGCCAGGCGCTGGACGCCTAGCGCCCGGCGCCGTCCCTTCCTCCCCTCTAGTCTGTGCCGACCGGCGCTCGTCGCTGTGCTGTGCTGTTACCCGTCTGGGTGTGCTGGTGTGTATGCGTGAGTCTGTTGCCTGTTTCCGTTGGCAGATGGCAGTACTGGTGCGGGCAGCTGCCCGAGTGTTTGACGTTTCGCGGAAGGCTTTCGGGCTGGATGACAAAATTTCGTTGCATGTGTTGCCCCGCAGACATGTGCTGTTTGGTGTGCTTGTTACCATGTTTGATATCGCCATTGCAGGGATTTTTATCCTACTCTCTCCAAACACCAACAATTATATGTGAAAGCATTCCCACATTAGGCGTAAAATGATCAACATTTGGTAGGCCTCTGCTTTGCTCTTCGGAGATCTTGCAGCTTACGTCGAGTGGAGTGTCGTCTTCATTCGTAGTTCACGTCACACCGTCCAAATTTGTTACTGGTACCGATCAGATTACTGGTTGACACTCGGGACGGCGGCAGTCCACTTTAATTATCACATCCGTCACGCTTTCCGTGCCCAAACAGACGCGACTCTCTTACGGATCTCAATCACATCCGTCACGCGCTCCGTGCCCAGACGCGACTCTCTTACGGACCTCAAGATGTTGCGCGCAGTCCTGCTGCGAGTCGTGAAGCTTTCCGACTGACCCAGTCATCTGGGAGGTGGTTCGAGATACGATGTTTGGAATGAGACAGGATGTAGTCCCGATGGTAATAACTGGAGGAAGGTGGTCAGTGTGTGATGAGCTTTGTGTGGAGGTCGGCGTAGTGCTTCAGTTGCTTCCAAGAGCTTGCAAAGGGTGAGTTGTCCATTTGTGAAATATTTGTACAGATGGAGGCGCAATTACTTGATGATATGCTGCTGGAAAGTAGCAATACGATTGAAAATTACGCCACTTAGATATAATGTTCTGATTTCTCCCTGGAGATTTTTTTTTCCTGAACCCCCGGCCGTCTTTAGGTGGCTGGTCGCTCGTATGAGCCATTTTCTTCCGTCGCGCAGTTGACCTGTGGCGTGAAATTATGTTGTATTTCAAACACGGCTGTCAAAAACGTGCTGATCCTCCTGCTGTCACCTGCTGATCCCGCCTAGCACATCAGTACATAGAGAGATCATGGCACACGATGTCATTCGCCCTTGATAAGTGCATTAGTTTCATATCACTGGAAAATATTGGTGACTAGTGCGATTTCGACGGGAACTACCATCTTTGTAACAGCAGCTTAAAGCATGGTGCTGGCTGTTTGTATTCTGATCCGTGTTTGGCTCGGCAGGCACCTTGTAAGGTAAGAATCCTCATGTTACTTTGGTACGATTGACGTTGGTACGGTTTTCTCTGGTGCTCCACTGAATCGTCAACGATCTGTCTTGGTGAGGAAATATTGGGATAATCTCCGCTGCATTTCCAGTGGTAATCAAGATGCTTGTAAGTAATCGCTACACGGTGAAGCGGCGACGCCATCACTCTGCGTCTGTGATGGAGAGTTTGGCTCAAATGTGTCTCATGGGATATACCTCACAAAACGAGGTATTTGCGAATCTCTTTGATTTTCTATGCTTTGACGGGCAAACTATCGTCAATTATCAGGTTAAGTAACATATCGTCCCGAGCTGCCACACTGAAAATAAGCCAGAAAATACTGGTTAAATTCTCCACTACTCCTCCCGCCCCAAGATGCCTAAGGTTAGGCAAAAAAGGACATTTTCAGGTTTCGAAGCAAATATAGGTAAGAATGTTTGCTAGTCAAAAGAAATGAAAGCTAGTTATTTTTTCTCAGAAGCATGACATTTTTAAATTCACCCCCCAATCCAACATTGCCTCACCGCCCACTGCAGCGGCATTCTGGATCCACCCTTGCCCTCTGCTGACAGCAGGGCGCAACGCCTGATTTAGTCGTTCCAGCTGGTTCCCCTGACGCCCTGTTTAGTTGTTCTGGCAGACATGGTTGCTTTGTACAACTGCGTTGATGAACAGAAGTATCGCAGTCGTTTCTCAATGTTTTACGCCTGTTGTGAGCTTCTGTCTGTTATTGTCCAGTCGTCCAGTCGCTGATATTCCACGAGATCGCCAATGCAGTGCTACATCCAAGCCGCGCTGCGGGAGCTGATTTCTATTGTGTTGCTCCGCGTGTACATGGTTAGACAGCAGGCTGGTCCAGACTATAATGCTTTGTTTTTACAGTGTTCGTGAGATACTGTCCGCTCGCGGACACTTGCAAGATGCAAGAACTACGTCCTTTTTGTTATTTTTATATTTATTGTCTCGTCCTTGCTATATTTGCGTTTTTATGGCTGATAGTAATGGATGTGATTATTGTTCTGTCTCGGAACGAAATACATACGAAAAAGTTCTCTAAAATTTTGTATTGTCATCGATATGACACCTGGAATCACCTGTGTAAACTGCGCCTCTGCCGCCGATTAGCGATGACTGAAGACGCACCGCAACTCGATTGTATGCTCTCTCCCATTAAACCGGACCACATACGACTCGTCCATAGCAGAATGATGGGTAGCCATCATGTGCCGTTAAGCCGGGGACCCTATGAGACAGCTGGAGCCAGGCGAGGGATCTGTATCCAGCCAATATTGAAGTAATCTAAGCATATCAATGCGGTATAGACATCCCATGTCTTGTTTCTGGGCCAGCTCAAGTGGCAAGTGGTAGATAACTGAGTTACTTTAGGAGTGGCAGGAGACAATTTCATGTAATAAGCCGGACATTTGCAGACCGATCTAGGACTGGAAAATCACGATTTTCTTGAAACTGGAAGAGAGTCACCACCTTGCACTCCCAGAACCAAATAGTTCGTTAGACCACCACATGTAGCTCAGCATGAACATATTCGATTGGAAAGTAGTCCCCAAACGCAATTTTTGGGTTTAGCATGCTGCTCTGGGGTCTAGTCCTTATATCGGAAAATATTTTTTTTTTAAAATGGCTACCCGCTCGAAAATTCACCAGCTGGTTGACGTCATCAAAAACTTAGCTGATTCCATTTCCTGTTTCACCACTTCCTTGGTCAGCTGAAGAGCAGACGCACAACCTTGAAACCTGAATGCCAATGGGAGAGGTGTGGACGTGTGGGTGGTGGGCTGAGTTCCAGCGCTCGTGTTTAATTCCGTGGCCTGGTGGGGTAATGGACGTGAGAGGGTTGAAACTTTTGTCTTGACGCTTTTCAAATTTTACAGATGATTGGATATATGCGCGGTAGGCTGACTTTTTTTTGAGTAGTTTGAGGGCGAGCTAGCGCCGCATGCATTGTTTGGGTGATAGGTATGATAAGAACGTGATTGTCGGCTATGGAGCTTTACGTCTGGATTTGTGTACCATGTCAGTAATCTATGAAACAACTTTGCATGCATTTCAAGAAATTCCTGAAATATTGGTGTGGATAAGATGGATGTTGTTATATATGAGTTACGTTGTGGGTCATAATTTAATGGTCACACCTGACTTAGTGTGATTTTATTGTAGTTGCTTTAGATTATTATTATTGTGCTTGAGCTTATTTCTAAGCAGATGCTCCCTCTTACCTGTAACTGACTGCCCAAAGCAAAAGCTATGTGTCAAAAGCTATATTTTGCCTACTTACTGCAAAGGATACCTAATGAGGTACTTACTGATGCATCCTGTTTGCTTCTTGGTGGCCAGAAGAGATCAATGATATGGATAGATCACCTGTGTCATACATGTCCATAGCACAGCCTCTGTGTGATGGAGTGGTCTGTTCCAGAGTTAGTTGCCACTTGACCTCTTCATGCATGCCTGTGTGGTTGAACTGATTAGATTCCACTTTATATGGCTATTGACTATGACTATTGCACAAGAATGTGATGAGTGGGTATAAAATAGAAATGTGCTTCTCTTTCTTACCTCCTTGGCCACAGGTACAGTATCAATTTTATGATCCATGGAGCTACATGGTTGTGAGAGATGTTGGATTGCAACTGACAACAATAGTTCCTGAATATCCTAAACCACAGCACATTTCTTTTGCAATAGCATATACAGTATCTACCATATCAAACACTTATTTTTTAAATAACTGGTTAAGCACATATATTCTACTTTGAGCAGTGCATTATAATAGTATTGGCCCAAAGATAGGTAACTCACTATAGACTAGGCTAATTATTGTAGCACCATGGGGTGGTAAAGTTATAATGTCACATAAGTTGAAGTGTGAAGCTTGGAGTTTTATAGTGCCAAAATACCCCAAAATATCTGACGCTGGTTGAGTGTAATTCATGTTTTTGGGTTTTATTGATGTTCAGCCCATTAAGTGCAAGTGGCATTGAGAAGAAGTGGCCTGTTTTTGCTGGAAATTGGTAACTTGTTTTACTAAAACTTACATAACTTGCCACATAAGCATGCAAAATATGCCATATTTAAAATCATTTCTGTCTCTTGCCTGATCCTTTCAGTTATTCCTATGGCCCAAGTCATCCCATGCTTTTGAAGTGTATGGATACTTGATCAGGGAAATGCACATTATTGCTCTTATTTTTAAAAAAAAATATTGTGCCAATTTGTATTGTTTCTGGAGTGTCAGTAGTTGGACAGTTGATGTGGACATTACAGGTAACACACCTAACACCAATCGTTTGGTCAATCTTAAGGTTTAAGCCTGAACATTGGTGTTTTGTATAGAATACTGATTGTTCATAGCATGTGGCAGGTGTGTTGACCATCCCCAGATGCCTACAAATTTGAAATCAGTCATGCCTAGCATGCCATCTAAATATGACCTGACTCAGACCACCCCAGGCTAATTTTGATTATTGTTTATTATTTCTACCTAAACCATGTGTAAATGCATTCTGTGCATGTTCATGTGATGGCTTTCAGCATTTAACATAAGCTCCTGAGTCTAACATAACATAAGTCTTGATCTTCAGAATTTGGGCAATCATTTTCAGTATTTGAGGGTTAACAACTATTGAGTCTCCTCAAATCATTTGAACCTGAATCCTCAGCTATAGCTGGGGAACCTGAGAGTGTAATATTTTGCTATGTAATTTAGAAAGGGGTGACAGGCAATATTCTTCTTAAGTAAAGTTTTGTTTGTCTTTCTGCATTCTTTCTTATCAGGCTCTGCCATTGGTAAATTGTGGATAATAAGGTTGTGCTAGAGCAGTTCTAACCCATGGAATCAAGTTATCCCAGCCCATGCTTCTACTTTTCTCTCAGATGGGCAGCTTATCACCAGGTTAAGGAAGCATTTGAATGTTATGAACCCTTGTATCCTAAGAACAAGGGGTTAAAGCCTGAAAACATACACTCAGATTTTAAACACCACAAGTACATATTTATAGCCACCATTAAGATATGCAAGTAGATGTATTGAAATGTTTTCTTGGCTCACATTTGTTTTAAGCTGGCTAGATATGGCATATATGTCTTGATGCTTCATCAGGCTGAGTGGCCTGTCATGCATTTTCTTCCACATGGGGGCTTTTCCCCCTCCACATTTTGATTGACATTGAAATGTGCCTGTGGTAGGAGTGGTTAGAACAATAAGCCACAAAGCAATCAGATCACTTGAAAAGTGGGTTAATTGGAAGCTACTGAAATATTGAGTCCAAAGCTGAATCCAAATACAACAAACCTATGACTAGAATTCCAAAATGCATACAAATCTTCAGCTCTAGTGTGAGCATGTGTTCTTAGAATTCATGAGACCATGGTGTTTTGGGAATAAATGAATCTGAATAGTCAGCTTTAATGTCTGTACATGGTAAAACAAGCTGCAGATAATATTTAATCCAGCATGTTGGGTACTATGACTCCCCCCCCCCCCACCCCATGGGTTGGTCAGTTATTTACTATATTTGTTACACCATATATCTTCACAACCAAGTAACAACCCCATTGTGTTACAGGTGATTCGAGTGTAGCTGTGATATTTGAATCATATGAACACCTGATAAAAGTGCCTGTTCACAATGGATACCAAGGAGAAGGTGACAGAGCCAGAGATTAAAGGCTGGCTCTACAAGTGGACAAATTACATAAAGGGATATCAGAAGAGGTGGTTTGTGCTTTCCAATGGACTGCTTTCATACTACAGGTAAGGATACTGAGCTCTGGGAGCTACTTTAAGTAAAATGTCAGGCAAGGAGGTGACATCTTGTCACATTCTCCAGCAGCTTAATTTGAGGTCGTTGCTGTGATCTGGTCATCCCTACAATGTACATGTGTTGTCATGGTGTGGTTTCCACACAGTCAGGGAAATGGGAATGGCCAGTAGCTTTAACTGTTTGCTCCTGACAAGATCAAACTGACTCTGTCCAAGATAGGTGTGAGAAAGCCATATTTGATGCTTATATTTATATATTATTGGAAAGTCGTCGGATCTAAGATGCTGTCTGTTGTTTTCACAAACACATCCATGGATGATCGCAATTCGAGCAACGGTTTTGCTGCCTTTCTGAGAGATATTTCCGTGGTGCGGTGATGGTCTGCTGGCGTCATGGGTGTGTCTGGTGTGGGTGAAATAGGCAGCAGACCTTAGTTTTCAAATGCTTTGTCTGGTTGTTATGGGGAGATTTTAGAAAGCCACGTTTCCGATATATTTGTAAATTGATCTGTGTGATACGGTATTGTAGGTCGGGATAGGAGACCATCCCGAAATCATTATGTGCATTTTTCTATTTTCAACTCTCCGTCCTCGTAGTTACGCATTTGATACACTGGGCGAAAACGCTCTCCTCCTTCCAAGTTATGTTCTGTTAAGTTCATCGTCCCAAAAAGGAACAAGTCTGTATAGCCCCTTATTGGGCTAAAGATGCCTTTCGTCCATCTTCATACACTTTTGTTACGCTCCATCCCCCTTCCCCTCCTTGGTTAACGGAATATGCGGATGGCCCGTAGGGCAGTGCCATTTGTGTGACGGCATTGGACGTTTGGTATGGCCCAATGTCAGCTACGCCATTTGTGCTGTCACGGTGTTCATTGGCCTTTGATATTTTTGCAACGAGTGGGCGAAAAAATGTAATGGAAGTCTTGATAAAGTATAAATGCCGGCAAATTGTGCTCGCTTTTCAAGGAAAGGAAATGTTTTGGAACCGCGAAGTGTTAGCAGGCGTGAGCCTATGGCTGAGTCCAGGACTGATTTCACGGTAACATTGCCTACTCTGGCGTGGCTACATGCTCTGAAGACAGACGCTGGCGCTGCACGTAGGCGTCGTGGAGGCATGCGCGGCACCTCCGCCCGAGCGGTAGAAGCCAACGGGGGCCGACAGCCCTTTTGTACCGCGCGACTGGCCGTGCCCGAATCCAATGGGACTGGGGTGGTGCGGTGCAGGGATCCCGCCCCGGAATGCGACGAGTCGGAAAACGTGGGCGGAAGTGTGTTGAAAGGAAAACATTGAGGGTATATTCTTTCGGCTATTTCAGGTTTTCATTTTCAGTTACGCATATAAGTAACGGAAACAACGAATTTCTGCTTTTCTTGACTGGACTTGCGAACACAGATGTCATCGGTATAAATATGGTCTTATCAATTGGCAAATCAAGTGACGACCATCCTTCCTTTGATCAAAAGGCGTGGCTTTTAAAAGCATTTCTATTGTTGGTGCAGCTTTTCTGAGCATTTCCGTCACCAATTATGGTCACATTCTACGGGCACATCCATTGTAATTGTTATGTGACATGTATCCTTCCGGGGCACGACAGCGGCGAGCGCGCGCTGGTGTGTGATGTCGCCCCGCGCTGTCAGGACCCAGGCGGAGATGGCGCACACGTGCCGGGGCACCATCAGCCTGCACGGCGCGGCGATCCACTGCGAGGACTCGTGCAACTTCATCATCTCCAACGTGTCCAATGGTGGCACACAGACGTTCCACCTGAAGACGCCCAACGAGATCGAGCGCCAGCGCTGGATCACCGCGCTGGAGCTGGCTAAGGCCAAGGCTATCAGGGCACTCGACTCTGGTAAGCGTAGCAGTGTGCGTGTATGTTTTGATGTTGTAGCCGATCCCAATAGGATCTAATTATTGTCGTGTGTAATACTGGACGGGGGTATTGATGGCCATCGATTTGGTGGGTGTGCGGCTGGACCGCGATATTGGTATAGCCGGCGCTGCTTGTGGCGTATGCCCAAAGTAGTTACATTATGTAGCATTCATATTTCGAAGTGCGTGCAATAGTGTTGTTTTTTTGGCCGCGTGTTTGGCGTATTTGTCCAATTACGTGGTCAGCAAAAGCTGCTTTCTTTTCGTTATGATAGAACACCTGAAATTTTAATTGCATATAGCTTTTAATACCTCATATTTGAAAGGATGCCCTAAATTTCTAGTTGTCACGTGTTCAGGTGTTTGCACGTTCTTAATTTCGAGCGTTGATTGTGATGCATTCGAAGCTTCATTGTGGAGTGTGTATGTCATTCATCTCCGTACCTTTTGTTCAGATGGCTCCTGCTTGGGTGTGGTTTTCAACTGCCCGAATAATGCAATGGAGACCAGGCAGTTAACCTACTCGTGTTAATGCGGCGTTGTGTGTGTGCCTGTGTGCTCCCAGAGGAGGATGGCTTCGATGAAGAAGAAGAGCCAGACAAGGGCGATATCCAGGCCGTGATCAGCACGCTGAACGCGAAGCTGGAGGACTTGCAAACTTGTCACGATCTGATCGCAAAGCACGCCTCCACCCTACACAGGTCAGCGGATTGTTACAAAAAAGCTCGTGGTTTTGAGGAAGAGGTTTCACCGTAATGTGGGATACTGGACTGGAATATCGTTATTCTAGTCCTGGGACGAGTAGAGATAAATGCGTATTGCGATGTGTCGAATTTTATTTGCGGGGATTGAATGCGTTATCTCGCAGGCTATCTGTGGCGCGTGCCCTGCAGCGGCGTGGAGCTGACATTGCGAAACGCTGCCATGAAAATCACCAATACTGAATATGTTTAATGCCAGAGAGCATGTTAAAGCGCTGTTGTAGTCCTGCCGCAAGGTTTGAAGGACCATGCGTATGGCTAATTTAACGACGCTTGAATATTTCAGTTTTGAAATAAATGAAGCACGAAAGGCGCGATCACATAAGACGCATTGGGGGTCATTTTGGCGCTTACGTGTTTCATGTGTGACTGTGCCTCAGTGGACATGACAGGTTGCGACGCTTATTATCGTAGCGATGAGGTAACAAATATGTTATGTTTTAAAGTAGACGGCCAGTTATCCAACGAACAATTTGAACACCAAAAGAACCACTTGCTGATCGCAGCACAAGCGCTGGATTGCGTCATGTGTTGCTTGTGGTCGTGAAGCTGGGGTAGTTTCTCTATGTATGAGCAATCAAAGTGACCAAAATGAGTGACTTTTCCGCTCGCTCGGTGGAAGTGCTGGCCACTGAGCTTGCAAATGGCCTGAATGGAATGTGGTGCGCGAATGGCGTAATCGCCATCCGCGATTACCGTGGGAGGAAGGGGTAAACCTCTGTTATCTCAGGCTATGGTCGTCATGCGTTAAAAGTTTGCAAACTGTTGATAGCACTGGCCAATTTTAATCGGGAATTGCTTAGATGAAACCGCAGTTGGGCTCAGACCTTCGACTGTCAAGTTCGCGTACGGCTGATCATGAAGAGACCCTGCTGTGTCGGCCGCAAATTGGTTGCACTCATGCGACAGTTGGACTCGTGCGATACATGGCTGCCTGTTGTTCGGTGAAGACAGACCCCATCACCCCAGGTGCAGCGCACCGGTAGCCATTTACCACGAGCTTGACTCCTGTTCGTTGTTCGTAAAATGGTGATGGCGTTGTTTTGGACGACAAGCTCTGTCTTCGACTTGTCGTTACATTTTGGGAAGCGACCTTTTCTTGTTAAGTCGGAGTTGTTGTCGTTGTCGTTTTGTATTTTTTTGCAGATGCTTGTAGCTTTATCCTCACCTTGCTAGCTGATATTTAATGTGCCCAACAGGCGTGCTGGGAACAAAATTTAACGTCAACGCGCAGTAAATCTTCCATCATCATCGTCTGATGTAAGGACGCCGCACGCATGTGCCGCGCCCGCCCTGGTAATGATTTCCGACACGGTCAGCTCAATAGCTAATCTGGCCGATGACGCGGGTCCGGCGCTGCCTACGGCCCTGCCGCCCGGTCGCGCCCCCGTATCAGCCTAATCTGGGCCGGCGCTGCGGCGCCTGCGCGCTGATGCGTGGCGTCGGCCGTCAGGCTAGTGGTCACGCTCGGACCGCGCGTGCCGCGGCCCGTCTGTCCGACGCCCCACGCACTGAACCCCCACCCCACCCGCACTGGACCCGCACGCTGTCCGGCCGCCGGCTGTCGCTCGCCAGAAGGTGGCGCGCGCCGCCGAGCTCACCAGCAGCCTCCTGACGAACAGGTCAGCCGGCGGCCGGCTGGGGTTTAGGTGTCACGTTGGCCGCGTGCAGTCCAACGCGCAGTGTGCTGATGATGCAAATGGAATGTTTTCGTGGTGGCGTTGGACAATCTCGCCGCTACAACGTTGGCACGGACGGGATCGATTTCCGGCGTGGACACGACGTCGTGGAATGTAGAAGTGATCTGTCCGGGAAAAATATAATCTGAGCAGGTAAAGCATGTAAACCTATAAAGATTGAGCGGAAGTCCAAAACGCACGTGCTGCTCGAGCGTGTTTGACCTTCGGGAAGGTGGACGGCGCCGTGCCGCGCTGTGACTTCTGTCGCCTTGTCATAGGCGCCCTTTGTGTCGACATTTGGCCGCTCGTGCTGTCTACCTGCGTGCGGTACAATGGTCCCCGTGCCGGCCGGGTGACGTCCGGCCGGTCAGCGAGCGCGAGCATAGCCCCAGGGTCTTTGTACTCGCGAGTTACCGCCTGACGCAACCACCTCGGACCCAGTCTCCGTCGACAAATGGAAGCGCATCCCCTGTTTCGTAGTACGCTCATTCCTTACTTATGACGTTACCGACCAAGCCTGACCAGGGTCAAAAGAAGCGAAGAAGTGCGTTTGTTTACAAATAAGTTGTTGCTGCTTACATAGCAGCACCTAGCAACGGTGGACGCACTGTGGACGGGCTTGCATGGCGGGCAAATGGACTGGTCTCGATCAAATGTGGATTGCGTGATTGACAGTGATGCTTCGGGCACGCGACTTCCGAGAACTCTGTTACTGAATGCATTCAAATGCGCCATTTCTGCACGCGTTTTTCCTCCATGGGGTTGCGTCAGCTGATTCTAATTGCTGTCCGTATTTGGGACAAAAGGCGTCCTGCAATAGTGCGCATCTATGGCTCCAAAGGCTGCTACCTCTTTGATCGGAGCGTAGATCGTAGGCCAATGAAAAACCGGGGCCTGGTCGTTGAGTGGCCGGCTGATGATGGCGGCTGGGTCTTCGGCTCCCGGCCGGTCACGCTGAAAGGCACCACGTGCGGTCCACTTACGGTCGCACGAACAACGGAATGGGGAGGCCGGCGTGGGACTCTACCGGGACTCTGCTCTACCATTACATATCCGGGGCATGGTCAAACCATTGATGACCGCATAGCCGGGGCGTGAACGAACCATTGACCATTGCATATCCGGGGCATGGTCAAACCATTGATGACCGCATAGCCGGGGCATGAACGAACCATTGACCATTACATATCCGGGGCATGGTCAAACCATTGGTGACCGCATAGCCGGGGCATGAACAAACCATTGACCACCATATGACCGGGACATGATCAAACCGTTGGCCACTACGTATGTAGAGCAGGGTGTCAGCAATTCGTACCGTCACCGAGCCACCGGAGACCGCCATGATATGCCTGCTATCATCTGCAACAACCCTCGTAAAACAGGTTGTAGGGTTCATCTGTTGACTCATGCGACCCCTGCACCATTGTGACATCCATGGATGGCAGTTACGTACGATATGCGGTGCTCGTTGCTATCCTTACCGAGTTTCTCACCAAACTGTACTGCTTGTCACAGATCCCTGGCCGACTTGGAGAACTCGGAGAGCGCTCAGGAGGTCACGGCGAAGGTGAAGCAGGTCAACGGGAGGGCGACGCTGTTTCGAATCACGTCTACGGCTATGATTAAGGTAGGCAGATTTCTACCAACCATGCTTGTAAGCGTGGAGCACTATTGGCGATTTGTTTTTTGCCTGTTGTTCTCTTTCGTCACGTCATCGGGTATCCTGGCAGGGCGTCATTCGCTGGGAGGGGGCGAGGTTGCTCCGGCCGTCAGGGCTACCCACGAGAGCGGCCGGACGTGAGGCCGCTCTCGTGGGTAGCCCGTTCGAGCACCCGTGCAGCGGCGGTGCAGGCGAGTTTCGATGTCGTTGGTAACCCAGGATGGCCACGGTGTTACCCCCACTTTGCGACTCCGCCAAATTACTGGTCATTTTGCATGTTTTGAAGCTCTGTTAAACTGCCCACGCTGCAACAACTTTCGCGATCCTTACCCCCGTTTTGGTTTTCTCTGTCGATCAGAAGGCTAATGAAGGGAGGTCTTTGCGGTGCCGTGGTCGATACGTGGGCTTCTACCAAACCTAGCCACGGCATGGTTAAGTTCCACCTCGATGGTATCTTCACCGTCCTAGCTACGTATACGTGTCCCGGGGTGGGCGGGTGCGCGACTGCCGCCATCGAGCGGCACGTGGCCTCTGGGCACGGCTGCTGTCGGCGCTATTCCTTGCAGCGGTGCACGGACATGCCTCAGCTCGTCACCCATTGTACCGCGACCACGCTCCCGGCGAGCACGTGGTCCCGAGTGCAGAAACCCGAGCCGCGGCGGCGCGTGACGCCACCACGACCGTGGGAATGCAGTCCAGCGGTCAGTAGCTGCCCATGTGTCGGCGCGTCGGCGGCATCGCTGGACGGCGCCAGCGTGTCGGATGTTCCTGCAGGCCTGAGGGCGGTAGTGTGCAAACCCGCGCCGTGGCGAGCCGGGGTCACGGGATGCAGCCGCGGAGGGATGCTGCTGCACTAGGTTCTCACGGTTGATGGCAGTGTCACTGGGTGGTGTTCACAGCTTTGTAGGCGTCGTTGGATGGTGTTCACAGCTTTGGGGGTGTCGCTGAATGGTGTTCACAGCTATGGAGGCGTCGCTGGATGGTGTTCACAGCTATGGAAGCGTGGCTGGATGGTCTTCACAGCTATGGAGGCGTTGCTGGTAGGCTTCCACAGCTGTGCGAACGTCACGGGATGACGTACACAGCTCTAAGTGTTTCAGGACGCTGTCTGTAGCTGGCTTGAGCTGTTCAAACGTCCGAGGGCGATATCCACCGGTGTGAGGCCACGCTCATCACCGCTGCCAGCGCTCATCACTGTGCTGAGGTCACCGTGCGGCGTCCCCGGCCCGGCGGGCGCGTCTGTGTGCGTGCCCCTGCCCGGGCACCGGCTCCCCAGCCTGAGCGGCGCCTGTGCTGCAGGCGTGCGCCGACTACCGGGACCTGGTGCAGACGCACGGCCGCAAGTGGCAGCGCATGTTCCAGCACGAGCGCGACCAGCGCAGCCGGCTGGAGCAGATGGTGGAGCAGCTGGCCCGACAGCACTCCCACCTGGAGAACGAGGCCAAACAGCTGGAGGTCAAGCAGCTCATCAAGAAAGACAGTCTCACTGGTGGTACGTGCTCTCGTGGACTGCCCTCCACCGTCCGATGCCGGCTGCACAGTTTGTGTGGTCATGTGGGCTTGCTTTCTCGTGTAGTGACCGCTCCCACCTGATTGGTATGGAACCGAACACGAGTATATCTCCCTACCCGGTATCCTAAAGGAGTGACGCGTGTTGTGCTGTGAAGGTGGGGTGCATGTGAAAGCCGATGCTGAAAATCTTACTTTACTTGACCTTGCGAATCACTGACGTTTGCACGTTTAGATTCTGTTGTTGCGAACAACTGTGACCTATTAGGGTTGAATACTAGATTGATTATACCTATGACAACCTATATTCATAACAAGGGGTGGTTCCGTCACTGTCCCCTGGTTTGTTTGTTCGTTTGTTTTGCTCTGTGATTTGTTCTCCCAACCCTTTACAGTCATTGCTGATATTTGGTTGCATTTCCGTACTTACAGTTACACCTATCCTGATAACAGTTTGACACTATTACCCAGGGTGGTTCCACCTGTGTCCTGCGAAACATACGCCAGGCAATACCGGGTTTTTTTACGAAACATTGAGATGTTGCTCACTACCTCTGTGTTTCTTCCTACCGCTACTATCATATGTGGTGCTTTAACATTTTGAGACAACATTTATGTGCGGGTTTGAACTGAAGTAGCCACTTTGAAGACCTTTCGGTGCTGTTCACAATACTGCCCTTCTTAAAACCTAAGCCCCTTTAGTTTCTGAACTGCACGCCCGCGAAAGCAGGGAAAGGGATATGGGGTAGAGTGTTTCAAAGTCACCGTGGCATTCATGACGTCGTGATAACGCCGTTCAAATCCTGTCATTCCATTTGCCACGCGGCGATCGAGACCAGGAATATATACAATGGTCGAGGCGTCCATATCTGGTGTTCGTGGGCGCAATTTCCAGATTTAACGGCCGTCAATTGGCTCCGAATCAATGTTGTGCCAGGTACGATGGCGTAACCAAACCATGATGCATTGAGGACCATATTTACCAAACATATAGCTGTGCTGTCTATAGTAATCCTTTCCGCTTAAAGAGTATTTAGCTCATATGTGCAAGACAATACAACGAAGTTGATAAAGTACATGTGTATGGATCCTATATGCATGCTTTCCAGGTACAGCTGGCTCTTCATGCACACGCCTTCGCCCATATAAAATAACGAATGATGCATGCTAGGTAAAATAATCGGGTAATTCACACAAACGCTATGCCTATATAGTGTGCCGAACCAAGTTGCCTTCACATTTTTGTTAAGAACATGATTCTGATTTCCCTGTGGCAGTGATTATCGCTGGAAGGCTGTGGTCGCCCGGTAGGTGAACTGCCGCCGTCTCGATTTCTTGCTGATGCGTGCCAGGGCCACCTGGCCGTCCCGCCTCGCAGAACGCTGCCGAACGGTGGTGTGTAAAGTGACAAGCAAAGTCGCTCGCCTGCCTGCGACTACCGCAGTTCTGAGGAGGCATAGCGCACGATGCATTGCGAGGTCCTGGATAGGTTACCAATTGAGCCCGCTCAAGACGCCACGCACATGCGTTCACTTTGGTCTTCTAGACACTACACTCGCCCAGAAGTTGAGCAGCCTCTTGTGGCGCTCGATAGATTGGCCAGTCGTGTTCCCATATACTGTGATGTAGTTACCCACTAGGGCTACGACCAGGCCGGTGACGCACGTCGGCCGTGCATCCTGAGTTCCCGGTATGACTCGGGCCGGCGAGCGGTTCCGTGTGCCTGACCACCGGCTGGCTCACATGCTTCTCGTCGACTGCCACGCCGTTTTTTGCAGTGGAAATGGAAGGTTCCGAAGCATTTAGCCAGTTTCGAGAACGATGAGGTTGGGTTTGGTGGGGTTCGCTGTCATCTGAGTTTGGCTGAGCCACTGGAGCAAGGTGCACAGGGCCGACCCCAAGCGTTGAATTAGTGAACGAATGGTGGCCAGAATGGTGGGTGGCCGCATCGAGGTTCAGATAATAACTAAGATCGCCGGTTGTCTAAGTCGTGCTCCATTTTGCCAGCTCACTAGGCGCAAGTCTTCCAGGTTTTCGCAGTTTGTCCATCTTGACGGTGATAAAAGTATTCCATCACTCGTTCAAGCGATCCATATGCCTCTGAAAGCGAGAAATGTCGAGTCAACAGGCGGAGAGGAAGGGTGTTTAGTCGACAGGTGGGAAGAAGAAGTGTCGAGTCGAAAGGCGGAGAGGGGAGGTGTCAGTCGACAGGCGGAGAGGAGAGGTGTCGAGTCGACAGGTGGGAAGAGGAAGTGTCGAGGCGACAGGCGGAGAGGAGAGGTGTCAGTCGACGGGTGGGAAGAACTAGTGTCGAGTCGACGGGCGGAGGGGGGCGGTGTCAGTCGACAGGTGGAGAGGAGCGGTGTCGAGTCGACAGGCGGAGAGGGGAGGTGTCATTCGACAGGCGGAGAGGAGAGGTGCCGAGTCGACAGGTGAGAAGAAGAAGTGTCGAGTCGGCAGGCGGAAAGAGGAGGTGTCAGTCGACAGGCGGAGAGGAGCGGTGCGGAGTTGACAGGTGGAGAGGAGAAGTATCGAGTCGACAGGTGGAGAGGGGAGGTGTCGAGTCGACAGGCGTAGAGGGGAAGTGTCGAGTTGACATGTGGAGAGGAGAAGTGTCGAGTCGACAGACAGAGAGCCCCGGCGGCGCAGCCACGCTCGAGCACGAAGCGCTGCGGACTGCGGAACCGGTGTTGGTTTTTTCGCTGAAATCAGTGCATGTTTGTTTACATAATACCTGCTGCTAATCTTGCCAGCTATGTGTTGGGTGCCAAGTACGAAAATATTACAGAGGTAAACAGATAAGTACCAGAGACAGATCTGGGTCGCTGGTCAGTATTGCAGCCTATGCAGGGGCAAAAGGTCTGTTTTGGTGACAAAGTGGCGGTGCCATGTTAGCAGAGTTGAAAAGTTGCGGAGACATGGCGAGTGACACTGGCGGTGCCAGGTGCACAAATGTGCTTAACAACGACAGGTGTTACGATTTGAATATATTTTAGTGCATGTGCTCTGCCTCCTGCCCCCCACAATTATCTAAGTCAGCGCTGTTTGCGAGTAATATTGTTTTCATCGCAGCAATTTGCTCACCATCAGACGTTGTGTCTACTCACCATCGTCATGGCCTTACATCCCCCACTTATATACAAACGCTCGAATATTCCTCTTGATTCACTTTGGCTCAGTTTGATTTGATCCACTTGATTTGTTGCGACTCCTATTAATCTTGATCTGGACTGTTGTCTTGATTTGATTCGACAGTCATTTGATTCATTTCATTCATGTCATGCTATCCAAGTGTAAATGATGCGAATGCTTAGGCGCTGTTGTACGTAAAGCAACGGCCCCTGAAGGCTCCTGAAGGCTACTAAAGGCTCCTGAAGGATCGAGCCTACCGCCCAGTTCAGTTTCAAGGGAATTAACGGCCGGAAAATGCATGCTTCCTTATTGTACATGTCTTCGCAACTATGCGTGTGCAATTATGCACATAACGTGGCAAGTTTCGGTGCACTCTACTCTCTACACTTTAAGGTGAACGGCCAACGTTTCTCGGAATTTGTGTAAAAAAAGAAATTCGTGTTGGCCTCGATCTTTCTCCCGACACGTCGCGGGGCTAAAGCAGCTCAATAGATGGCTGTATCTGAGGGGGCCGATCCTGCCTCCCGTTTCAGTCGCGAGGGAAATTCACAACCGGGAGATGTATGTTTACGTAGGTTGTTCAGTGCATTAGCTAGGAACATTATCCACATAGAAAGACAGTAGTAATAGCCTTATTCCTCGGAAAAAGCAGGAGGATGAATATATAGTTAGGTCAATATTTCGGCAACATGCCTTTATCGAAACAATAGCGGAAATGAATTCAAAATTGCCTGCCGATGATCCTGCTCGATATTTTAGGTTTTTTTTAAAACAGCAAACCACAGTTTTTGCAGGATACCAACATTCAGGGAATTAAGCAAGGAGCGGTTGCTAACCATTACTACGATACAGTGCTTTTCTAAGAATTAGAAGACCCAGACATACGTGTACACATAAACGAATTCAAGCAAATAGGCATCACGCATCACGCTTCATTCAAACATGCAAGCGAGTGGAAGTAAACAGGCATCACGCATCGCTCATCAATTATACATGCAAACTATTTCAATCGAACAGGCATCGCACATTACGTGTTAGGCATCACTTTCACATGTAAACGATTAAACCGGCACGCATCACACATACAATGTTTTCTGCCACTTGCCTTGATCATCCGTGGAATCGATGCGGCGTGATTTGCTCTATTGATAGCATGGCTGGCCTGTTCATTAGCTATTCTCGGAGGCCGATGTGTATCATGTTCGCGGCCAGACGTCTCCCATTAGCGCGTGTTTAATGTACCATATTGCCAGACACCTTCTTGTAGCCCAATGACTTGCTTCTTTCAAAAGCGCTGTTTACTCACCAGGCGTATACAGCGGGCTCCTGCTTCACCGTGTTCAGTATTTTTCTGCTGTGTTGGCATTAGCTCGTTTGTTTCTCGTTGGAACAGTGTTCAGTTTGTTTGTGATCGTTGGACAACCACCGCATAATTCCTGAATCATGTGTATCACCTGGCGAGCAAGATCAATGTCCTGGACGTGTCCCATAACAGTACTGTCTTAGCGTCGAGACCAGTGTCCCTGTGCCAGTGCTTCCAGTGTCAATGTTCTTGCCCTGCTGTTTCCAAAAGGCCAGTATCGTTGTCCTGTTGTCACCACCGGATCCGTCTCCTTGCCACGGTGTCCCCAGTGGGTCAGTTGTAGTCCCTTTGTGCGTTGTCTCCGGTATATCCATCTCCCTGGCTCTATGTCCTCAGTGGGTCACTGTGTTCGTCTCGTTGTCACCAGTGGGTCATAACCTCGCTTCTGTCGTCACCTTGTGGACCACCTCCCCTTCTCAGTGCCGCCAATGAGTCAGTTCCTCGGTGCGTCGTCACCACAGGTCCGTTTCTCTGTCTGGGTGTTACCAGGGGCAAGTGCCCGTATCCCGGAGTCACCACGGGTCCGTCTCCCTGTCCTGGAGTCACGACGGCTCCGTGTTCCTGTCTGGGTGTCACCAGGGGCCAGTGCCCGTGTCCCGGAGTCACCACGGGTCCGTCTCTCTGTCCCGGAGTCACCACGGGTCCGCGTCCCTGTCTGGGCGTCACCAGGGGGCCAGTGCCCGTGTCCCGGAGTCACCACGGTTCCGTGTCCCTGCCTGGGCGTCACCAGGAGGCCAGTGCCCGTGTCCCGGAGTCACCACGGGTCCGTCTCCCTGTCCCGGAGTCACCACGGCTCGCGTCCCTGTCTGGGCGTCACCAGGGGCAGTGCCCGTGTCCCGGAGTCACCACGGGTCCGTCTCCCTGTCCCGGAGTCACCACGGCTCCGTGTCCCTGTCTGGGCGTCACCAGGAGGCCATTGCCCGTGTCCCGGAGTCACCACGGGTCCGTCTCCCTGTCCCGGAGTCACCACGGCTCCGCGTCTCTGTCTGGGCGTCACCAGAGGGCCGATGCCGTGTCCCGGAGTCAGCACCAGGTCCGTGTGGGTCGGCGCTCTCCCCTGGACGTCATCGCCTGACCAGCACCCCTCTCCCACGGCACGTCATGCCCACCCGCGCTCCCGCAGTGGCCAGTATCCAGTCGAGCGATGACGAGTTCGAGGATGCGGCCGACGACTTCGGAAGCCACTTCACGGTGGCCGTGCCCACCAACCACAAGCGCTCGGGCAGTAACGTGTCGCAGGTGAGGGTGAAGCGCGCCGCGCCGCCAGGGCCGGGCCATAGGCACACCGCCCCCGGCAGCTGGGGCGGCCCGGCCCGGCGCGAGCGGTTTGGTTTCTGTGAACACCCCCCCCGGCTTTTGTGCAGGAGCGCTAGTGGTGCGCAGCCGTGATTGATTAGCTTTGCCTGCTTTAAATGATTCGGTTTTGCGGTATGTGATGGTGTGGTATATAAGTAATGCACTAACCGTCCCGAATATTACCGTGTAATTGTTTGAGAGCGATGTGTGCTATTTGAGGAAACAGCTGATAAGAAGTGCGATACTGGGAAGTTACGAACGACCCGAACTGTTCTCGGCTAGAAATATTTCTTCTGCCGAAGCAAGCCATTCACAATGATAATTATTATGCTAAGAGGGGACATGGACCATGAATACCACTTAATTTTACGGAGCCTTGTAACGTGGTAACATTTGGCGCAATAGCCCTTCCTGAGGATGGTTGCGCTTCCACTGAAAGTTTTTGTAGCAGACAATACCAGAGATAGCTACCCAATACTGGAGTAGTGCGCGCGCACGCTGTCGTGCTGCCCCGAGAGTAGTGACCTGGCGTGACCCACCGCCGACCCCCCCCCCCCCCCCCCGTCCCTCCGGCGGTCCCGAGCGCCGTCCGCTAACGGTCGCCCTTTGTGCGTGTGCGTGCGTGGCGCAGACGTCCGAGGGCCGGGACAAGCTGCCGAACGAGTCCGACTCGAGCAACGAGGAGGACAACTCGGAGATGGTCGGCGTCATCGCCCACAAGCCGGACAAACAGAAGGTAACGCTCTCGAGGCTGGTGTTCTGTGGCGCCTGGTGGCCGGGCGGCAGCGGGAGGCGGCTGTTGCGAGACGCTGGCGACGGCGTTCGTAGACTGCCGTGCCTAGCGTGGCGCCCCGCGCAGGCAGTGTGTTGCGCGGACTGGCCTCTGGGATTGGGTCGCCCAGGACCGGAGCAATTTAGGATATGCGCCGCACGGCTGTAGCACGTGAGGTCCGGCCGCCGCGGCGGACGTGTTGGCCGTTGACACGCGTGCCGCGCGAGCGAGCCGCCCGCCGCGCTCAGTGTGCCTGTCGAGTGTTTGCGGTGGAGGCCTCTTGACACGATTGTCCATTCGCGTCACAGTACCCCCCAGTTTTCTCGCGTCCTTCCCTGTCATGTAGGACATAGTACACCATTTACGTGGAGACTGAACATGAGCCGAGGCTGCGCGCGTCCGTGCGCTGCGTGCCCACTGCCGAGGCCGCCTCATGGCGTCTGATCGGATTTTACGGCCCCGCTTGAGCCATAGCTGCCGTAAGTTGCCTGCTGTAACTCTGCCGCGCCGCCTGTTGCATTACGTGGCGCAACTTTACCGCGCCGAATCGTACCGCGCGCAGTCGGCAACCTCAACTGATGCTCTGATGCAACCTCAACGGCAACTGATGCTCGTGCATTTGGTTCGTATTATGCGGTGCACACAGTTGCTGCCCGTAAAACCGCACACCCGTAATGAAGTTTATATTATCACTGCCCCGTGGGTTCGGAAGGTCACGCAGTCCCCGATGCGGTGGTCCCCAGTCCAACCTTGCCGAGGCATGTGCCAACGTTGGCTGGCGCGGGTCAAAACAACCTTTGTCGCCTTTCCGAGGGGCACGTTTTCAAATGGCGTGGAAGTGTGCGTGTTATGTGCTATGCCGTGTGGTCGAATGACGCCCAGCGCCGCGGCAAATCCAAACCCAGGCTCGGACGCTGACGTGCCCGCGTGTCAGCACGCACACGCGCTGGCTGACAGACAGCCGCCCCGAGCTCTGTATGGCGACCACAGTGTGGTCAATGTCTCGGCCCGGCGCGCGGACACGTGCTGAAGCCCGCCGGCGCCGCCCGAGGTGGAGCAGCGTGCGGGGCGAGGCGCACCCCACGCGGGGCCCTGCGAGGCAGAGTGGTGACCCCGGGGGCGGCCTGTCTGGGGACGTTTGGTGACGCGGGGCGGTCCGTCCAGCGCCGACTGATGACCTTCGAGGGGTGGCTCGTCCGGCGGCGAGTGGCGGGCGCCCGCCTGCCCGGAGTGCGCTCGTCACAAGGTCGCCGCCTGCTGTTCGCCAGCTGTTAATGCTATTATCGAGCCCGCCGGCGGGCGCAGCTTGGGCCTGTGCGCCGCGCGCGGCCGACCCTGTCGGTCGGGACGGTGCGTGACGTCCGGGTGAGTGCAGCCCCCCCCCCTCCCGCTCTCTGCTGTCCCCCGGGGACCGGTGCGGCCGTCTGGGCGTCACCTCCAGGGCCGCGCCCCCGCCCCGCCCCGCCGCGGCCGCCGGCCTGCCCGGCTGTTTATCGTCGCCGCCGGCCGGAGCCGCGGCCGCTGGCAGGCCGGCTGGACACACCCACACACATCCCCACACGGAGCCACGTGCGCGGCGGCGCGGCGCGGCACGGCGCGGGAGACATGTGCCTCTACTCGTGGGTGTGGAAGCGGCGGGCCTACCGAAGCAGGACGGTCAGTGTCGGCTCGGCGAGCGGGCGCCGAGCCGCTGTGCGGGGATGTCCGTCTCTGCAGCGGCTGCTTGTGTGTATGTTGTTATGCTGCAGACGGCTGAAGGGCCGTGTGTCGTTCTGTCCCTGCGGGGGCTGGGGTTCGGCGTTGGCACCATTCTGTCCGTTCCGGGCTGTGCGGCAGTGGCTTTGCCAGGGTATGGTCATGCAGGGTATGTGCATGTGCGCTGAGATCATATTCTGTTCGTTCAGGAGCTGTGCCACCGCGGTCCATGTCGCGCGTTGGCTGTGTGTTTATGTTGTCGCCGCCGTATCCGCGCATGGACTATGTGTCTGTGCTGTCTGGCGCCATGGTTGGGCTTGTGTATGTTGCGTCAGTGCGCCTGTATGGGGTCCTGTTGGTCTGGGTTGGCTTCCGCCTGACCATGCGCGGCCCGGAACCGTGGACGGGGTTGGATTTAATGTTGTTTTTAGGTCTGATAGGTGCTTGGCAGGTGTCAACGGTCCTCGACGTCTTGTATTTCGTATGTCGGTCATGGCTGTGGCGTTGCTGGAGGTATTTAGAGCTCCACATAACAGCAGATATGATGAGGATAAGGTATAATCAGTATTATTGAAATAAGTACAATTCAAGCTTACTTTCACATCAGTTTCCTGAAGGGTCGATTGTTAAGTATCACGTGTTTAGGTCTTGAGCTCGTGACTAATGTCCCGCATTTGTTCATAACTTACGTTTTAACTCAAGTGCGTCTGGTGAATTAGCGCAACACTTTCCAATCCGTTGTTATTCTTTTATGGATTACTCAGCTGAACATATGTACACATTTAAAGTTATTCGTATGACCGTATATGTGCACCTGCGACTTGAGTCATCATGTCGTGGATTTGGCTGGTTCAACCCTCCAGACGTTCATTGTGATCAACGGCGTATTACATCGTCAATTTTGTGGAGGACAAGTAGGTTCCTGATTGTTCTTGTCAAACGGTGTCGCAGCATGGCAGCGGCGGTTTGTAGCCGGGGTGCGCGGGTGGTGCTGACAGCCCATCCCGTCATGCGATGACAGCGGCGGTTTGTAGCCGGGGTGCGCGGATGGTGCTGACTGCCCCTCCCGTGGGGCGATGGCAGCGGCAGTCTGCAGCCGGAGTGCACGGGTGGTGCTGGTCGCCCGTCTCATCGGGCGATCCGTGATCAGCGTGGCCCTCGGCCGCTGACACATGGTGCCTCGGCTGGCGGCTACAGCTCCTGTACCCTGACGGGCCGGTGTCACAGCCTAGTCTCGGGTGGTGCCTCAGCTGGCGGCGACAGCTTGTGTACCCTGACGGGCCGGTGTCACAGCCTAGTCTCGGGTGGTGGCTCAGCTGGCGGCGACAGCTCCTGTACCCTGACGGGCCGGTGTCACAGCCTAGTCTCGGGTGGTGGCTCAGCTGGCGGCGACAGCTTGTGTACCCTGACGGGCCGGTGTCACAGCCTAGTCTCGGGTGGTGCCTCGGCTGGCGGCGACAGCTCGTGTACCCTGACGGGCCGGTGTCACAGCCTAGTCTCGGGTGGTGCCTCAGCTGGCGGCGACAGCTTGTGTACCCTGACGGGCCGGTGTCACAGCCTAGTCTCGGGTGGTGCCTCGGCTGGCGGCTACAGCTCCTGTACCCTGACGGGCCGGTGTCGCAGCCCAGTCTCGGGTGGTACCTCGGCTGGCGGCGACAGCTGCTGTACCCTGACGGGCCGGTGTCACAGCCTAGTCTCGGGTGGTGCCTCAGCTGGCGGCGACAGCTTGTGTACCCTGACGGGCCGGTGTCACAGCCTAGTCTCGGGTGGTGCCCTCGGCTGGCGGCGACAGCTTGTGTACCCTGACGGGCCGGTGTCACAGCCTAGTCTCGGGTGCTGCCTCGGCTGGCGGCGACAGCTGCTGTACCCTGACGGGCCGGCGTCACAGCCTAGTCTCGGGTGGTGCCTCGGCTGGCGGCGACAGCTCGTGTACCCTGACGGGCCGGTGTCACAGCCTAGTCTCGGGTGGTGCCTCAGCTGGCGGCGACAAGCTTGTGTACCCTGACGGGCCGGTGTCACAGCCTAGTCTCGGGTGGTGCCTCGGCTGGCGGCTACAGCTCCTGTACCCTGACGGGCCGGTGTCGCAGCCCAGTCTCGGGTGGTACCTCGGCTGGCGGCGACAGCTGCTGTACCCTGACGGGCCGGTGTCACAGCCTAGTCTCGGGTGGTGCCTCGGCTGGCGGCGACAGCTCCTGTACCCTGACGGGCCGGTGTCACAGCCTAGTCTCGGGTGGTGCCTCGGCTGGCGGCGACAGCTGCTGTACCCTGACGGGCCGGTGTCACAGCCTAGTCTCGGGTGGTGCCCCGGCTGGCGGCGACAGCTGCTGTACCCTGACGGGCCGGTGTCACAGCCTAGTCTCGGGTGGTGCCTCAGCTGGCGGCGACAGCTTGTGTACCCTGACGGGCCGGTGTCCACAGCCTAGTCTCGGGTGCTGCCTCGGCTGGCGGCGACAGCTGCTGTACCCTGACGGGCCGGTGTCACAGCCTAGTCTCGGGTGGTGCCTCGGCTGGCGGCGACAGCTGCTGTACCCTGACGGGCCGGTGTCACAGCCTAGTCTCGGGTGGTGCCTCGGCTGGCGACGACAGCTCCTGTACCCTGACGGGCCGGCGTCGCAGCCTAGTCTCGGGTGGTGCCTCGGCTGGCGGCGACAGCTCCTGTACCCTGACGGGCCGGTGTCACAGCCCGGTCCCAGTCGCCGCGGCGTCGGTTCCACGCCGGCACGGAGTGACGTGCGACCTGTGTGTGGCCTTGGCCTCCGACCTGGGGAGCGGGGGTCGAGCGCTGGCGGAGGGGTGCAACCTGAGCTGGGTTGAACGTAGCTGTTCTGACCTGCGGCGTGCCTGAATTGGCGTGATCTGACATAGCCGGGCGTGCGCAGAGGCGTAAGGTGACGTGACCTGCCCTGAACCGCCCTGCCCTGCCCTGCCCTGCCCTGCCCTGCCCCGCCCTGCCCTGCCCTGCCCTGCCCTGCCCTGACCTTCCCTGACCTCCCCTTCCCTTCCCTGACCTGACCTGACCTGACCTGACAGGCATACGGGCTCACCATGTCGGAGCGGATCGTTCCATTTTAGGCAGTGTGAC